TATTGACCTGGCTGACCCAAGCCTTGACCCTGCCATCCAGCAAGAGTTTCACAATCGCGAACGAGCGCGTGCTGAGGCTGCCAAGTTGCGAGCCGGCCATGCTCCCGAGCCCGACCCCAACGACACCCAGCTCACCTCCATGATCGACTCCATCGGCCAGCTGGATCTTGATGACAAAGGCGGCTGGGACTTTTACGGCATCTCCTCCGGCGCCGTCTTCCTGCGGCGGATGAAGGAAAACTTCCGTGGCTTGTTGGGCCCCGTCGGCAAGGGACCTTTTCTTCCCCGTCCGGCTGATCGAACAGCGGGCCTTTTGAATCTCGACACGACGCCCTCCATCGGCAACTCACCGTTCTCCTCCGCCTCCAGTTACCCCGAGCTGCCTCCCAAGGACGTTGCTCGGAAGCTCTGCTACTACTCCCTGAGTTGCGCCACATGCCTCGTCCGCATCGTTCACGTCCCCTCTTTTTACGAAAAATTCGATTACATCTACGATCGGCAGCACGAACCCACGAGCCACGATGATACTCAGTTTCTCGCCCTCTTCTACGCCGTCTTGGCGCTGGGTTGCATGTACAGCAATCTAGACGACTCCAGCTCTAGTGGTGTGACTTATCGACAAGCCATTGACGAAGGGTAAGCGTCGCCTTGATTGCATCCGATACCAGCCGTTTCCCCCCCCAACTGACCCATCTCTGCAGAGTCAAGTACTACAAGATAGCAAGATCTCTGCTGCGTGATGTGACTGAATGCCGGAGCCTCATCTCCATTCAAACGCTCGTCTTCATGATCCTCTTCCTCCAATCCACCGCCAATCTCAACACCTGCTATTCGTTTGTGGGGATTGCTCTTCGATCAGCCCTACGAATAGGCCTCCACCGCAACTTGCAGCACGAACGAATAGGGAACATCGAGCAGCAGGTTCGGCGGCGGGTCTTCTACGTAATACGGCAAATGGACATTTACGTATCAGCCATGCTAGGGTTTCCCCTGCTGCTAAACAGCGAAGATGTCGACCAGCAGTACCCTCTCGAGGTCGACGACGAGTTCATTCGGCCTGAAGGTATCATCCAGCCGGCACCCGGAACGGCTTCCTTCTTCCAAGCATTCAACGCCCACACTCGGCTGATGGAGATTTTGGGCAAAATCACAAAGTACATTTACCCGACAAAAGGCGCTGGGCAAACCGTCATGAGGGGGAACAAGCCTTCGTCGACATATCTCATCAGCTACAGCAAGATCAAGGAGATTGAAACGGACCTGCACAACTGGTTCGAGAGACTTCCCGAGGCGTGGCGCCCGAGTCCTGATGGTCCGATTGAAGTGGTTCGGTAAGTTCACCAGCTGATACATCTTTTATATATTTCCGTCCCTGGTCGCCGCTCAGGCAGTTGGGCTAACATGCTTGTGACAGCGTGCGACATTTGCTGCGTTTCGCCTACGCGCACGTGCAACTTGTCCTTTACCGACCCTTTCTGCACTATGTCTCCCCTCGCCTCAGCCAGAATAGCCGGATTGATGAGCTTTCCTACGCCTGCGCGGCGGCGGCCATCAGCGTGTCCCGCAATATTGTCCACATTGGCCTTGAGATCCGGAAGCAGCGCGTCCTCAGCGGACCCTACTGGTTCATGCTCTACACCGAATTCTTCTCGGTGCTGTCATTGGTGTTTTATGCCATTGAGAACCCGGAGAAGCCTGGGTCGGCAGAGGTGCTGGCTGATGCGCGCGCTGGGAGACAGATGATTGCCGATCTGGCTGAAAAGAGCCTTTCTGCCGAGAGGGTCACCAACACCCTTAAGGTAAGGACTCCATTCACCACCAACCCGCGTTTTGTTCTCCTATTGACATGATCTCCGTAGGTTCTTTTTGATCAACTCCCAGAGCGTTTCGATCAACCCCAGGCTCGGCCTTCGGCTACGACAAAGAAGAGGACGGCACCCGGAATCAAGGTGCCAAGCAATAACCCTAATATCCCCGTAGGCCTGTCCCTTCACCGGCCAGACGACTCGATGCGCAGTAGGAGCGGCGGAATGTCGCTATACGGGACCTCGCTGTCAAGGGGCTCCATGGGCTCCATGGGCTCCATGGACAGCAGCCTGGCGCAATCACTCGACCCCAACTTTCCCGAGCCTTCCTTCACCAGCAGCTTGAACGACATGATGCCGATGGACTTGTCATCACGGGCCACGCCCGACTCCACGAGTACGGGCGAGAGCGCGCACCGACACCCGTACCAGCAGCATCCCCTCGGCGGGCACCTCGCACTCAACAACCCGGTGCACAAGCTCGATTCGCTGATGTTCCCCTCGGATGATCCATTTGCGTACCCCAACCAGCCGATGATGGAATTGGGATTCTCGGGCAAGACCGATGTCCCTGCCGTTTCGATGCCCCAGCCAACTCAGGAATCAGGCTTCTTCTTCCCCGCGTCGCTGGATGATCTCGGTGATCAGTTCATGGGCCAGCCTCCGCCTTATATGATGCCGCAGCAGCAACAGCAACAGCCGCCGCACAACCCATTAGCGATGAACATGGCGCCGAACATGTACGACCCCGGCGCCATGATGGGGATACACCAGCAGCCGCAACCGCAACAGCCGCAGCAACCGCCGCAACGACGACCGGGAGGGCTTTCCCTTCGGCGAGCAATACGAGGCGAGAGGCACCAGGAGCGGCAGATAGAGCAGATGTTTACTGATCACGGCATGCAGCCCGACTGGGGGAGTTTCTTTGGTTCTGGCAGGGGTGGATTTCAGGGAATGTGAACGACTTGCCACATGATACCCATTTTTTCTTTTCCTTTTCTTGTTTGTGTGTCTTTTGCCGATATGAGAACGGGAAAGCCTTGCGGTTGCACGGGATGGGAGGGGCGTTTACTTGTCTTTGTTGTTTGTCTTTGCCTCTGCCTGCTCCTCTTGGGACTTGTTGGATCATGTGTTCCTTGGACAACGCGGACGAAGGACAAAAAAAGGTTACACAGCGCGATTGCATGTCACGAGTGTCTTGGACGCTCCTCTCATATCTCGAGCCTTGTCGACTGGCGTATAGAACTTGGGGGCTCTTTCTATTTGTCATCCGCTTGTAATTCCCCTTTACCTTTTCTCCTCATCTTTGCTCCGTCTCTCGATGGCGGCAAGCGAACAGACAGATAACCCAACCATGTCCCCATCACTTAGCACAATGTGTATGAAGCAACTACCTAGACGTCTGGAATTTGGTCGCTGTATGTACACGGTCGGATATCAATGTTTATGGACGATCCAAAGCTATACCACGTATCGTACTCATGAATGGCACGGACATGCAACTGGATAACCTCATTGAAGGCAGTGATTCAGAGTGTGTACTGACTGACATATAGCCTATATATTGCACTGCCCGGTCGGTCGGACAGCCGCAAAAACCATGCTCTCGTACTGAGCTCAATGACCATTGCGGTGAGGTCATCAGTAGGGTAAAACTAACCTGTCTCACGACGGTCTAAACCCAGCTCACATTCCCTATTCGCTCTAATCACATTATGCATTCTGAATGCGCACACGGCCCGGCTGCCCTTGTGGTTTGTATCGTCCCCATTATATGATTAGGATACTACCAGGCATCGCTCAAGCATTTCCGCGTTAAGCTCGAACGCCCCCCATAAGATCGGGACTGCAGGTCCTTTTGCAAATGGGCACGGTTTCCCGTGGGGCTGGCACGCCCCTGAAGCGATCTCGACAGAGCGAGACCACCCACACCTTTACCGCGCTCTACGAGGGCTATCGTGAGATCACTCTCACGCAGCTCCCCTCGGGATTAGCATAGGCAGCACTCACTGGAGAGAGCCCTTAGCCTTCCCCGAACCAGGTTGTGTCGCCGTACAGCACCTGCAGCTTTGTGCGCTGTATCGACTAGCCGGCGTCATCCTGAACCCTCCCTCAGGACCCGACTATCCCCACCAATAGGTTCAATATTGCAAACATAATACCTTTATGTTTAGTGGGTGAACAATCTAACGCTTACCGAATTCTGCTTCGGTAGGTATGATAGGAAGAGCCGACATCGAAGGATTAAAAAGCGACGTCGCTACCTAAGTATGAGCGCTTGGCCGCCACAAGCTACCTTAGTTATCTATTCCTGTGGTAACTTTTCTGGCACCTCGAGCCTCGAATGTCGAAGGACTAAAGGATCGATAGGCCACACGACACTTTCATGGACTGTATTCATGCTAAAGATGAAAATCAAGGGGACTTTTACCCCTTTGTTCTACTGGAGAATTCTCCCCGGGGACAGTCCATGCTCCGCTTTATGGATGGGATGAAGAAGCGCTGCTTGCGGGCTTCTTCCACGCTACAGATTGATGGTTCATGGACACTGTGACATCAGACCAGGGAGAGACTAAGGGCCAGTAGCGCTATAGCCAAAGCGGTCATGGCGTTCGTGCCAATCTCTCGTTTTCTGGGGTAAAGATTAGATAAGGCGGCTTGGATGGCGTATGTAATAATAGCAGCGATTGACTGGTGGCGGTCTCATTAGGGGATGCAGGCACTACTACTACCTTAGTATTGCCAGGCACGACTTGCTGGAACAGCGCTGCCCTTTCATCGATTCCAACCACATCCTCATCAACTGCCTCATCAGATCGCAACACATCACCGTCATTCATCGTCGATAGGTGCCTGGAGGACTCTACAACAAGTCACTACGTTCTCTCAGGGAAATCGTGTTATCGACTCGCGCAACCATCACCGCAACTTCATTTGCGCTGCGCCATGGCGGACCTCGACTTCAGCTTCATCCTCGACGATGAGTTTGACGCAGTGTAAGCGCGCCTTTTATTCCACTCACCCTCGACTTGTGTTTGCTTACACGCGCTGCGCATTGCGCAATGCCGAACAGGGCCATATCCAAGAGGGAAGACTACGAGGTCTGGAAGACACGAAAGTACCCAGGTGAGTGATGAAAGGACTTTAACATGAAAAAAATCGTGCCGGCTGACCGTTATATGACTCTTCGGTACGCCAGCCAAGGAACATGCGCGCAAGGTGGCCCAGAAGCTCGGCGTCCAGGACGGGCTCATCTATCTGCCGGGCCAGCCGTCGCAGAACTATGAGGATTCGGACCAGCCGCCGCCGTTGAGACAGCGCAGATAGTACGTCCTTGGTGGCATTTACCTACCTACCTTATCCAAGACTTCATACATGTTTTCCCAAGGAGGTGCGCTCAAAAGCCTCGTTGCTGACCAGAGCCGATGCCAGCTTCTTCTACCTTACGGGCGCCAACTTCCACGACTGCTTCGTCACGTATGAGATCCGCACAGACGTCCTCATCCTCTGGATCCCCTACGTCGAGCCGCGCCAGGTGCTGTGGTTCGGATCGACGCCCGACACCGCCCGGGCCAAGCAGCTCTACGACGTCGACGAGGTGCGGTACTCAAGCCAGCTGCCCAAGTTCCTCGAGTCGCGCCTCGCGTCCACCAACACGCTCTACGTGCTGCACGAGGACCAGGCGCCCCCGCGGGTCCGGCAGACGCGGGCCAAGGTCAACCACTGGATGCTGCAGCCCGCCATGGACCGCGCCCGCTGCATCAAGGACGAGTACGAGATCGCCATGATTCGCCAGGCAAACGACGTGTCTAGCGCCGCGCACCGCAAGGTCGCCGAGATGCTCCTCCGCCTCTCCAACGAGCGCGAGATCGAGGCCGTGTTTCAGGCCGTGTGCTGTGCGCGCGGCGCCCGCTCTCAGGCGTACCCCGTCATCGCGGGCTCGGGCGCCAACGCCTCGACGCTGCACTACGAGGACAACGACCAGCCCCTGGACGGCAAGGAGCTCGTCGTCGTCGACGCGGGCTGCGAGTGGCGCTGCTACGCCAGCGACATCACCCGCACGCTGCCCATCAAGGGCCGCTTCTCGACCAAGGCCGCGGCCGTGTACAACCTCGTCCAGACGATGCAGGAGGAGTGCATCCGCTCCATCAAGCCCGGCGTCCAATTCTACAAGCTGCACCTGCACGCCGCCGCCGTCGGCACCGTCGGCCTGCTCAAGTTGGGCATCCTCAAGGGCGACGTCGCCGAGATATCCAAGGCCGGCACCATCAGCGCCTTCTTCCCTCACGGGCTGGGCCACCACGTCGGCCTGGAGGTGCACGACGTGCCCGGCAGCCTGCCGCTGATGACGCTCCTGAATCTCGGCCTCGACGGCGGGAAGCGCGAGATGATTACGGCCGAGGCATTGGTCGAGATGAGTGCGGCACTGGAGCTGGGCAACAATCAGGCGGCGGGTTCGCGGGCCAAGTCGATGAGGGAACGGCAGCTCCTCGAGCCTAACATGATTGTCACCGTCGAGCCGGGCATGTAAGTGCTTCTGTTTTTGCGGCTTTTTCAAGCTGTCTCGCTTTTCCAGCAAACCCCCCCCCCCCCCTTCCGTTGATGCAGGCTACTAACCAAGTGCAACGCCAAAATACAGTTATTTCTGCCGCGAGTATATTGAGGGCTACTTCCTCAACAACCCGACACACGCAAAGTTCATCGACAAGGATGTACTCGAGGGCTATTACAGCGTCGGAGGCGTCCGCATCGAGGACGACATTCTCGTGACCGAGGACGGGTACGAGAACCTGACGCCTGCTCCCAAGGGCGAGGAGATGATTCGCATTATCAACGCCCACAAGGGCAGCAAGTGAAGTGGCTTCTTTTCTTTTCTTTTGTTTTTCCCCTCTTTTGCTTTGTGAAGTCTAGTATTTCTTTTGCGTTGAGGCCATGAGGTCACATCAGATTGTCCATGGGTTGAACTTGGTCATCGTACAAGCCTAGTATCTATGTTTTTCATTTCTCTGTTCTTTTGCTCCCTTCTTGCCTTTTTTTTTTTATTTAACGATGTTTAATGTTGACGTAGCAGGCGATGTAATTCATATATAGAGAGCATCAGCAGACCGTCATGTTCGAAAGAGATTGCCTTGATTATGTTTCTTCGTCTTCTCATCCAATTCATGTATGCATGCTATATATGTCAAAAGGTATATAACTGTAGATAACGGCAAAGTCGCCTCCCCCTCAAAGGTGAAAAACGTGTCGTGCTTTATACAAAGGGCCGCCCACCCCCATTTTCGTTCCAACTCCCCCTCTTGAATCGTGACCGTCAGTCATCAACTCGCGTCTGCAATCCCATCTTGCCTCCCCCCCCCCCCCCCCCCCGCCCCCCGAAACATTTCAGACTCTTCACAGATACTTCTTTGGCGAATTTGCCTTCTTCCGCTTGTAGAGGACGTACGCCGCCACCAAGACAACCTGTGTGCCGACAATGACAGCAATTAGCCGGCCATGGCCCGGCATGCTCTCGGTGACCCTCTGTGTGAGCGACATGTGGTGCGTCCGCAGGGCGCCGTGCACGGCCCTCTCGTTGGCGGCAATCTTTTGGTGCAGCTCCGAGTTCATGTTGCGCACCTCATTCTCGAGCGCGACGATGCGCTGCTGGAAGGCGGCTAGCTGGTCAAGCAGGGCCAGCTTCGACTGCAGCGACGCGAAGAGCTCCTTGACCTCGGCGTGGCGCTGCTCGTCCATTTGGTGGTGGCGCGAGACGGAGCGGTAGACGGACGCGAGCTGGTGGTTGGTCCCCTGGAGGCGGTTGTGCAGGTCCTGAAATTGCGCCTTGGACGTCTGGAAGATGTCGGCGTTCTCGTCGGCAATCTCCTCCCAACCGTCGTCGGAGCGCTGGTTCTTGTTGCTGCCAGGCTGTTGCTGCTGACGCGAGGTGTAGGCGAACTGGCTGCCGCCGGCGTTGCCGTTGGCGTCGTTACCGCTGTCCTTGCTCTCCTTGTTCTCGTTGTTGTTATTGTTCGTTCCGGCGTCAACATCGTGGCTGGACTTGTCCGACATGACAACCATTTTGAAGATCTCAAACGAATCCGGGCTGTCGGGCGTCGAGGCACTGATGCCCACATGGTAGCCCGCCGGCAGACTGACCCGGCTGGTCTCGAAGCACGTCTTGCCGTCGATCTGGACGCGGAAGCTGTTGGCTGTCTGGCGCATCTTGACCTGCGACGGCCGGCCCAGGTTGCGGTAGCTGTACTGGCAGTGGCCAAAGGCCAGCTTGTCGACGTTGTGGTGCTGTGAGTAGTCCGTCGAGCCGTCGTTGAGGAAGCCGCGCAGCATGCCGCCCTGGCCGCCGTGCGAGTCAATGACCAGCACCAGGCCCTCGAACCTGCCGGCATTGTAGACGCTCTTAGTGCCCAGGTTCTTGCCGTCGCGCGCCAGCCAGATGTTGAGGTTGCCGCCCGCCCTCTCGGGGCCGCTGGCGCGAAAGTCGACGTCGACGATCCAGTTGGAGTGCCGCAGCGGCTGCTCGCTCCAGATGGCGCCCCGCGCATTGCCCGGCGCAACGGGTGTCAGGATGACCTTGCTGGACAGGATCTCTGGTATGCTGGGCTGGCCAGAGACGACAAAGTTGGGGATGTGGCCGGGATTGTCCGCAGGGCTTATTCTGGAGTCGGGGGGGCCGTCAAGAGGGCGCGCATTAGCTGGCTGCCAGGTTTGCGATTGCTTCTCAGAGCCATTGAGCTGCGAGCTGCGAGCTGCGCAGACACAGAGACAAAGGACTCACCGCCCTGCGTAACCAAAGCTGAGCTCGCTGATGAGGAACTGAGCTTCGGCGAGAGTGGCGCCTAGCAGGGCTGCCAGCGCCGGGGAGAATCGCATCGTGAGGGATCAAATTGGGGGGGAAGCTTCTCAGTCCAGGTTGTCGATGCAAAGGCGCCGGCTTCTGCTTTCAGGGGCAGACCAACGCGAGGTGATATGCAACAGAAAAAAGAAGACAATGAAAGATTGAAACAACAAAGCAAGAAAACAAGAGGAAAAGAATCGCAACAGCGCAGTGCAGCTGCCCGCCTCAAGCCGTTTGAGAGGGTGTTGAGGAGACGGGAAAATAAAGGCAGAGGACACTTTGCACTAGAGGCGCTCAGCTCCGACTTCCCATATGGGGATCTGGGGCAAGCACGGAGGACGTGCGCTTTCTGCCAACAGCGCCGCCAAGCCTGATAGCGTTACAGAAGAGAGGCTGAATGGGGACAAGCAAACGCGCTGAATGACAAAGAGCATATGTACTGAGAATAGGCTGTTTAATAGGGTCAAAGACAACGATAGTATGTTCCTGCTAGGTAGGATTCATTATCTGGCATCAAGACATCCCGTCTGAATCCCACATCATACAGTAAGGTATGTATGTACTTGTTTGTACATACAAAGATTGATTCAAGCCCACTTACACCGCATCCCGGCCTGTGGCTCAACGTGGCGGGGAAGGGACCTCTGCAGGGCAGCGCTAGACCAGATGGAGAAGCAAAAACAAAGAAATTCTCCTTGAAAGTGCTAGCCCCGGGTGAAGCTTCCCGTGGCCCAGCCAATCTCAACCTGTTATTATCTGTTCTGGACAAACTTGAAGCTGTCGCCAATTCAATTCGTCGAACCGCAACCAACCACCACGTTGCGCGATCGCGGGACTTTGTCGATTCCTCCGAACTGCTGCACGACGCCATGCGGTAGCCATTCCGCATCCTGCAGACACAATGGCAGAGTCCTACCCAACACTGACGCAATGCGCGCTGGTGGCCGCCGCGTTCAAGGTCCTCCTCTTCCCGGCCTAGTAAGTTACGTGCTTCCACGATCACTGCGCTCTGTTCCTGGACAGTGATGTGGGCAAGGGGAAAGCTTGTGGCTAATTGATTGACGCCCGTTCGCAGCAAATCGACCGATTTTGAAGTCCATCGCAACTGGCTGGCCATCACCAACAGCCTCCCCTTGTCCCAGTGGTACCACGACAAGACGTCAGAATGGACGCTCGACTATCCGCCCTTCTTCGCCTACTTCGAGTGGCTGCTCGCCCACGTCGCTCGCCTCGTTGACCCGGCCATGGTGCGCGTGTACAATCTGGGCTACGATAGCTGGGAGACGGTCTACTTCCAGAGGTTCTCCGTCATCATCACCGAGCTGCTCCTCGTCTACGCTCTGCAGATGTTTGTCGATTCGTCGCCCCTGCAGTCCAAGAGGGCCGCCCAAGTCGCCGCGCTGTCCGTGTTCCTGTCGCCCGGGTTGCTCATAATCGACCACATCCACTTTCAATACAACGGCTTCATGTACGGCATTCTTGTGGCGTCGCTGGTCCTGGCCCGCTACAAGTCCACGCTTCTGCAGAGCGGCCTCGTCTTTGGCGCGCTGCTGTGCTTCAAGCACATCTACCTCTATCTGGCGCCGGCCTACTTTGTCTTCCTTCTGAGGGCGTACTGCCTGTCGGCGAGATCGGTTTTCCGCATCAAGCTTCTCAACTGCGTCAAGCTCGGACTCGGGCTTGGCGGTATCTTTGCCGCTGCCTTTGCGCCCTTTGCCTTGATGGGGCAGATCCCCCAGCTGCTCAGCCGGCTATTTCCCTTCTCCCGCGGGCTGTGTCATGCCTACTGGGCTCCAAACGTCTGGGCGCTCTATTCGCTGGCGGATCGCGTCTTGATACATTGTGAGTGCGCAAGTTGTTGCAGCAGAGATTCTACCTCGAAAGACGTAAGACACGCTGACCTTTTTGTAGTTGCACCAAAGCTAGGTCTGCCCCTCAAGACCGAGGCCCTCAACAGCGTCACTCGTGGCTTGGTTGGCGATACGGCCTTTGCGGTGCTGCCGGAGGTTACACCCCGTGTATGCTTCGCCTTGACGCTACTCTTCCAAATCCTCCCCCTTATCAAGCTTTTTCGGCGCCCGACTTGGGATAACTTCATAGGCGCCGTGACGCTGTGCGGGTATGCATCGTTCCTCTTTGGCTGGCACGTCCACGAAAAGGCCATTCTGCTTGTCATCATCCCCTTCAGCCTCATCGCCTTACGGGATCGCCGGCATCTTGGCGCATTCCGACCCCTCATCGTCGCGGGCTATATATCACTATTCCCGCTGCTTTTCACCCCCGCCGAGTTCCCCATCAAGACGATCTATACCGTCTTCTGGCTGGTGCTGTTCCTCATATCGCTTGATCGCATGGCGCCGGCGTCCAACCAGCCACGTGTCTTCCTCTTGGATCGGTTCAGCACGCTCTACATTGCAGTGAGCATTCCCCTCATTGCATACACGTCCCTGTTCCACCAAGTGATATTTGGGAAGCGGCTCGAGTTTCTGCCGTTAATGTTTACAAGCTCTTACACCGCGATCGGCGTGGTCGGAAGCTGGGTGGGATATATGGTTGTGTATTATACGTGCTAGGCCGGCAGAGTTGGGGGGGACCGCAACAAGCAGAGAAGAAGAGAGGGCAGTTGAAAGGAAAAGGGAACCGAAGGAGAGTCGCGAAACAAAAGTGATACCCTGTTAGAGAGGACATAGAACCCGCCAAAGGCCAAATTCCCGTCCCTATTCTTGATCCTTTCGTCGTCTGCGCTCCAAACAAGTCTGTGATTCCGCGCCGCCTGAAGTTCGGCATCGAGGAGTGCTTAGTCATTGTGTAGGGTCGGGGAGTGGGGCGCTCCACGTGAGGCGAGGCTGACGATTCCCGTTCTGTGCTGAGCGAGTGGAGCCAGGGTTGATGCTGTGCCGGGGGATGTGGCGGCATCGACAGGGGGGAAACAGAATGGCGACCAAAGCCAAAAAAGAGAAAAAAAAAAAAAAAACCGACACGGTTCAAAGGGGAAGGGCGGGGAAGGGGGAGGGGAGGGGGGCGCGCATTGAGGAGTACGGCTTCAGCGCAGGAGTTTGCCATGTCTTGCGGGAAACCAGCCGCTCAATTGGCATGGGGAAAAGGCTCACTTGGGCCTCTTATTCTTCCTTTTTCTGCTCGGGGGATGCGGATTGCTGGAGGCGGAATGACGTCAGGGCTAGTGCGGATGGTTGCCGGATCTGGAAATCAGGGACAATGAGCGTGCGAACGACGAAGAGCCGGCAGCGTGATGAACGCAGGGTAGCAGTTCTATATATGTATGGAGTAGAAAGCACAAATACTGATATATATAGGGGTGTGGGTGTCTTGTATGATATACAGTAAAGCATGGTGAAGTCGTTTTTGATGATGGGGCATACCGCTGCCTGAATTTCCCATGAACCGTCTAGATGCTTCTTATAGCGAGAGCAAGGTGTGCAGAGTTTCTTGACCTACCACAGAGCTCATCTTCTCTCTGTCATCGTCTCTTTCTCCTCTCCGAGAAGCCTATATGAAAGAGGGATAGTAGATGTCGCTCACAGCCAACTGATCCGTGTTGCTGCAGGTACATGCACATAGACCAGCAAATGCTTAATGAATAACACACATTTCAAGGACGTATCAAAATCTCCAATGATCAAGGATCAAATTGAGCCCAAATAGTCCTGTGTTGCGATATTGCGGAGGGTAGTTGTGCGCATGGAAGAGAGAGGGATGGTGGGTAGGTAGAATAGGAGGAAGCTTTTTCGCACACGGCTGATAACATTTGTTTGTCTTGTCTCAGTGTAAGCCTTGGTCCTCACTACTGGTATTGGAAAGAAAAGGATGAGGGCAGCAGATTGGGGTAGGTTTCATGACTTGGAGATGGGGAGGACAGACGGAGAGGAAGAGGGACGGACGGTGGAAGAGAGTGAAATGAGGTGGACGGGAGAGGAGCTGGACCGGGGGCTGCGTGCGTGTGTCTCGGGTGTGGCAGGGAACAAAGGGACTGCTGGGCGCGGGGGTACTGGGAGAGTACATTCAACGGCGGTGGAGCTTTGCTTGTAAGGGGCCGCTATGAAGGTAAGCGGGAGTCGCGATGCTGGCACACCTAAGAGGTACCTTAGTAGTAGGTGCATGAGCGCAGAGGCAGGCGTGTGTTTCTTTGCTTCGTTCGACGGTGGGTTATAGCAATATATGTTATAGAGAGATTATTGTTCGTCCCTGATCTTTATGGTAGTTTGAGCAGTTCTAGAAGCGGATGGTGTCAAACGGGTTGGGTCCGATATTGCGGGCCAAGTCCAAAGCACCACTTCATGTGCTCACAGCTTCCCGTCCAGTTCAAGCTGTATTGTTCTGCTGGGTATGCTGAATCGCCCAATGACAGACATCCAAGGCGCTTAAGGATGCGGATTTGGTTGGAACGCTTCTTTTATCATCAGATCATCTGGCCAATTCTCTTCTTTGTTCTCAACTCCCATCATCCAACCAGTGCCGGACCCTGTTTGTTGCATAAACCCCCCGACCCAAGCCCCGGCGTCCTTCTGTACCCGCAAGGTACCTCCCATGCCGCCCTCCTCTGTCGGCGCTTCCACGGTACCGGCCGAGTACAACGTCCCCCCAGGCGCCCCCAAGCAGCCCGTACTTGATTGGTACCTCGCCCGCTAGAAGCTGGCGCTGTTGACGGTCTCCACGGCGGGACGCCTTTCCCCCAAACAGCGAATCTGCTAAGTACTCGCTAGGTTCCGTGGCAGCTCTCCTTCTCCCGCGCAATTCTTTTTTTTTTTCCCTCCCCTTCCACGCCTCCGTTGCACGTTCGCTCGCCCTCAGTCGCGTCTCGTCGAGTCTCTCCGCAGCTTCAACCACCGCCTCCGGATCCAGGAAATGCCCGCCAGGCGCCCCTGCGAGCTGCCCGGACCGCGTCTGCTGTAAATCCTTTGAGCCCTGCAGCCCGCGCAGCCTCGTGTAAGTGCGGCAATCAGCATCGCACCCTGTTCGAGACCGCCGGCCCCGAAATCTGCCAGCATCCACCACCTCCTCCTCACCAGCCACCGCCAACTTTTTCCGGCCTTCTTCCTCTTGCAACATTTTCAATCCTCTCAGCCTTGCACGCTTCTTGGACAGCCGCACCGCCGCGCTGGCCACACGCAGATGCACTATCCCCGAACCGCGATCCTCGAACCTCGAATCTCGAATCTCGAATCTCGAATCTCGAATCTTCCGCCTCCCGATCTCGGCCTCTCTTTGCCTCGCCCGCGCCTCGTCACTTGCGCCTAGCCCGAATGCCTGTGCTGCCGAAGCCATCGACTCGATAAACGCGCCAAGCTTTCGAATTGCTCCCTCTGCTCTCTGCTCCTCCCAAATTCGCGTCGGCGGCGGATTCTTGATATCTTTTCCCCCTTCCTCTTGTTCTCTCGAACTACCGGCTTCTCCTCACCCATCCGAGTATCTGCTTTGAATAGCCATCCTGACACGCAACGCGACTCGCAGAAATGGTATGCTGCTATCGCTTGGCCGCCCAAGTCTCTTCCTAGCTGACTTATACGCCCTACTCCAAACAGGTTCTCTTTAAGCGAAAACCGGTGCAGTTTCTGCCCCCGGCCGAGGTTGAGGATGATGACACTGAGGTATGCCGAGCCATATCTGAATCACTGACGCGTGGCATTTGCTTTTGGCAACAAACTTAGGGGGCGGGAAGGTCGAGAGCTGGTGCTGACTTGATGGTTGTCGTTGTTATAGGTCTGGCACATTCCTCAGACTGGCGAGATATTTGCTTCGTACGAAGACTACTTGAACCGGTAAGTTGCCTCATTTGCTTCCCTCTCCGTAATTAGCCTGTTGTGCGCCACACTGCTGACAGCTTTCTTCACCTGCAGCATGGATTTCTACAAGCAGGTAACAAAGCTCGAACCCTCCTACCTCCCTTCCTCCCTCTGTCGCTGTTATGCCGCGCATGACTGGCGATGCATTGAAGCAAGCACTTACTGAACTCGGCTTTCGTCTACAGCGTCGGTTCAATGACGAAATCACAGGCCATTCAGGTCTCACTTTCTTCGAGGCCTACACCAGCGAGGTTGGTTATGCTCTGCTCCAGCATTTGTTCGAACATGACTGGCTCACATTCATTGTCCACAGCGTGCTGGTGGTCAAGAGGTAGAGGCTGCCTTCCCCGAGGCGCTCAAGGGTCCCATCCTGCGCAAAGTCCAGTTCCAAACGATTTCACGTCTCGATAATCTCGTCGACATGGTGTTTGATGAGTTCAAAGCCGACTTTTATCCCGGGGAGGATGTCTTTGTCACGCTGGACGAGTTCAATAACGAGAGACGGGCTTGTCTCGTGCGAGAGAAGACGACCTTTGGTGCTAGGATCTTGCCAGATGGCTCGAGTTCTCTTCCGACCAGCCGTTATCTAGTAGTCCTCGGCGGCGGCTCCGGCCAGGAGCAGATTGTCACCGGCGACAACCTAAGCCGTGAGCGAGGCGCCTTCACCAAGTCTATGCTTCGGTCCTTTCTGAAAAGAACGATCCATCGAGAGGCCTGGAACGGGGCCCCGTGGCTCGTCAAGGATGATTACGCCAAGCAATATCACATTGATACCAGGATTCCCCCGCACCTTCGACACGATACTAAGATTCAAGAGCGCAAGCAGCTTCTGGCCCAGAAGCGTGAGCGTAGCTTGATTCAAGACGCCAATGGACACAGCCCGGCTGCGCAGACTGGACCAGTACGACTGCCCGAACTCAAACCCGCTCCCAAGAGCCACAAGGGAAAGCCGACCCCCGGCAGCGCGGCCAAGGGCCTCAAGTGGCCCACAGACATGGCGCCCGACGGCATCAATGGCGCCGGCTTCACGAGATACGACGACGAACGAGCTGCTCTACCACGTGAGCCGACTCCTCCGCCTCCTCCGCCTCCGCCGAAATATCCCATCGAGGACTTGCAACTGGAGCCGCGGGAGGGTAACGTGCGACCCAAGCTCAAGTTCATGTGCAAGAACCCTCCCGTTCATCAGGAAATCGACGACGATGTCCACCGTCAAATCGACATGGAGACCGTCGGGCCTCTGCTGGAGACGTGGGATACGCTCAATGTTTACTGCGAAATCTTCAAGCTCGATTCCTTCACCTTTGACGACTATATCGAAGCCATGCTGGTTGCTTCAAGCAGTAACCCGGTGCAGCTTTTCGACGAGATCCATTGCGCGGTGTTGAAGATTCTGGTCGATTCTGAGGCTGACGGAGGCAAGGTACGCATTACGTTGCCAGAGGTAGAAGAAGACGACAGCGACAACGACGACGACGACGATGAAGAGCAGGGTGAGGGCAGTCGACAGCAGAGCGCCGAGGTTGATGATATCCCCGTCGCGAGGGCTACGCGCAGCAGTTTGGCAAAGCTCGAAGCGGAGAGGCTGGCCGCTGAAGCGGCAGCAGCCGAGGAGGAAAGTCTTCGTGCGGAGCTGGAGACAAAGAATCGCGCCGAAGAACTCATGAAAGAGTTTGACTGGATCGAGCACCTGCGGCAGCGGAACTTCCAGAAGGGGGGCTGGCAGAGGATTTTGGTTGGCCTACTGCATCAGCTCTCCAAAAAGGAGCGCCTCCAGCGCGCATGCGAGGAGCTGCTGCAGCAGCTGGTGCCTGCGGAGATGGTGCCCTCCCCGGAGAATGTGCAGCAGCAATACGACAAACTGGACATCAACTACCGTGTCAAGGCGCTGCAGATCATCTGCATGCTGACGATGGAGACAAAAGCCGTCAGGGGCTATATGGAGGACTGCAGCGAAACCATGACCAAGTACCGCAAAGACAAGATTGAGTGGCAGCGACAGCGGAAACAAGCGTAAGTTGACAAAGACAATTGTCTCCATTTTCTTCTTCAATCTTTTACCCCTACTCGTCGCCCCAGGGATCATGTCGCTGACTTTCTTTCTCCTGTTAGTATTGAGGAGCTCCGACAACTGAACGAACAACGCAAGTTGTTGATGCCGGAGAACGAACCGGTGGTGGAGGCCAACGGTACTCCTGCCAAGGAGGAAATCGACGTCAAAATGGTCGACGCCGACGAATCAATCGTGAGCAGAGATGAAGAAGGCGAGGACAGTCAAGATGAGAATTCTAGAAAAAAACGTCGAAGCCGCGTCTTGACGGACAAGAAGAAAAAGCACGAGGAAGAGGAGAAGCTCAAGAAGGCTAAAGAAAAAGCGCTGGAAAAGTCCAAGCCACAACAGTCGAAACAGTACATCAAGCTCCTCAAGGACATCCAGAAGAAGGAGGAGGTGATCAAGAAGTGCGAGGAAGAAGTTGCCATAATCGACAATGATCTTCGGGAGGCTGACTGTCCGAGAACCCGTGTCCTTGGAAAAGACAGGTTCTGGAACCGTTACTACTGGTTTGAGAGGAATGGCATGCCGTATGCCGGACTGCCCGACAGTTCCACGGCGCACGCCGCATATGCAAATGGCTGCATCTGGGTCCAGGGCCCCGACGACCTGGAGCGAGAAGGATACATTGATCTTCCGGCTGACCTTCAGGCCGAGTACAAGGCCAAGTTCAACATGACTGTCCCCGAGCGCAAGGCGATGGAAGAGGGCGAAACCAGCGTCTTCAACGCGAGACAATGGGGCTACATTTCGGACCCGGATGACCTGGATCGACTCATTAGATGGCTGGATCCTCGAGGTTTTAACGAGCTCAAGCTACGAAAGGAGCTTGTGGCCTACCGTGACCGGATAGCCAAGCATATGGAGAATCGGAAGAAGTATCTCTCAAGCAGCGATGCTGAGGGCGACGAAGGCGACAAAAAGGAGGAGCCGAAACGAGTCAGCTCAAGGATCCGGGAGAAGACGCCCGAGCCCCCGAGCTATCGCTGTCAGCAATGGGAGAACACAATGGCTTTGGAAGACCTGGGCCACCTACACGGCGACCCGCCACCGCCACCACGGTCGAAGAAACAAGCAAAGAAGCGGGAGGCGGTGGTCGAGGCCGCACCGAGACCTGCGACGAAGGCGCGACGCAAGTGATGGAAGGAGATGAAGATCTTTTGCATTGTGACGTTGAGGCTCACTTGGTCTTTTTCCCTTTTCTGGTGTCGAGGATCCATAGCAACGCTCGCCTACGCCAGCTTTCGAAAGGGCTTGAAGATCCTCTCGAGACTTGTGAGCAGCAAGTCGCAAGCAGCTCTGAACCCACTTCCATTACGGCGTACGGTTGTGGAGCATGACGCATCGTAACGATTGATCAGACGGGCCGGTGTTAGATTTAGACTGGAGTTGGGAGGCCAACGCATGGAAAGGGGGTATTCTTGTTCTCTGCATTTTGTGTATTACAAGTCGATTTCTCTCTCATTTCTTTCGCCTGGTGGTAGGTTGCGGCTCGGGAGAAGTGACTGTCTATATATAAGTCGCTGCAAGGGCTGGTGTTGGTTACTCGGAAACGGTCGGTTGGTCTTTTGGGGGCTGCATGGCATGGACGGAGCTTTTTCTTCTCTCTTTTACAGCGATCAGGGCTGCGTTTTATCTTCGCCCTCTTTAGAAAATGCTGCTGGACGAGGTTGGGGAAGCACAAGCGAGGTATGAGGTTGCTTGCTGTAGACGCTAGATTCGGGGCTTGATTGCCCGGATTCGCAATGGTGTGAGGTTGTAAATAAGGCAGAGAGAGATGCATAGAAACCACTCCAAGAGCATGTTTGGCATAGCTAGTGTAGAACTAAGAGTGTATTTGTGAGTAAGACCTATGGACTCCCCCTTCTTTCCTCCGTGACGTCTACATTCATTTCGATATTTACCAGGGGTATTCATTATCCATTTAACTGCTTGAAATGAAACATTTATAAGCGCAAAGGTGGAAAAAGAAGCAGATGAGAAGGAAGAGGGGAAAAAGAAAAGATAAGCAAGATATCAATTACATCTTGGCTGGGGCCGCCTCGCTCGCGCTCCCCTCGAGCTTCCTGATGGTCTCGGTGCTCTTCTTGTAGCCGTCCTCGCTCTCGAGCAGGTCAATGTACTCGCGCACGCGGGGAAACTCGGCCTTCCAGGAGCCGCCGCGCCACTCGCCCATGGAGTCGAGGCTGCCGCGGGCCTCGAAGAGCGGGAAGCTGAGGATGATGTCGGCGGGCGTCAGGTGGTCGCAGCAGAGGTAGCGGCCGCCCGAGGTGCGCAGCTGCTGATCGAGGAAGCCGATGTGGCGGTGGACGTTGGGGAAGATGTAGCTGGCCATGATGCGGTTGGCGACGGCGGAGGTGATGGGGCGGATGAAGAAGGGGACTGGCGGCTGCTTGAGTCCTGTTGAATTCGACGACGGTTAGCATACCATACAAAGGGCTCTCTCTTTTTGTCTCTCTCTCTCTCTCTCTCTCTCACTGTTCCCCTCTTATGGGCAACGAAGTGAGAGGATAGATATATATATCAAAGACGCACTTCCAATGACCAGGCTGAGGACCAGGTACGGCATCAAGCTGCCCTCGCTGTAGTGCAAAAAGTACTGGTTGCGCAGCCAGGCCTCGGTCTCGCCGCCAAACTTGCCCTCCATGCCGGGCTTCCACTTCTGCGGCACCAGGCGGCGGCCCTCGGGGAAGTGCTCGCAGAGGTACTGCGCCATGTGGCCACTCTCGGCGAGGACAATGGGCTGCTGCTGCTGCTGCTGCTGCTGCTCTTGCTGGCCATCGCTGGCAGTGGTGGTGGTGGTGGTGGTGGAGGGAGGCGGCTTGATGACGATGACGGGGGATTTGCCGAGGGGGTGGACTTGTTCGAGCTCCGGGGGCGCGAGGCCCTGCTCGGTGCGGTGGTAGAGCTTGATGTCAAACTTGACTTTGAGCTCTTCGAGGAGCCAGAGCATGCTCTGGGAGCGGGAGCGGTTGAGCCTGGTTGGGAGGAGCAGTGCTGAGTTAGAACGAGCTTCGCTAGCTGAAAGGCCGGGATAGATAGTGTAGGGAACTGAAAAGCATTCGTTGCGTCACTGATGGTTGTTGTTGCTGTTGATATTGACGTACCAGTGCAGGGTCACTTGGGGTTGCTGCTCTTCAGAAGCCATGGTGCCGAATTTACAATGACGTCTTGCTCGTGTGGTGAGTTGCAAGCCTCGCTGATGAAGCGGCGCGGTCACTCTTTTTATACACAGAGGTCTAACAAGCGACGTCATACTCACGAAAGGGAGAGGCGCTGACACTTTTGAGGCGCAGAATCCTGCCAACTGCAAAACGTCATGAGGAGATGCCTCGGCAGACTTGCAATGGGAAATTCCAAATAAACATTCGGATCTCTCATGCAACCCGGGCTTCGGGGCAGTGGTGGTAGTTCAGGTACCGTATGGTCAAGGTAAGGTAAGGTATAAGGTAGGTAGTATCATCAGGGCCAGGTCCCGGAGCTGCTTAGTGCCGGCCCAGGTTGTCATTTTCGGCAAATGGCACGTCCAGGTTTCTCCGTGCCTCGGGACGGACGGACTCGGACGTGCCGTGCCCCAATTGTCAGCATCTCGGAGTGAGTGGAATGTCTTGTCGGTGCTGTTGGGCGCATCTGCTTCTAGTTTCGACTGGCAACTGTGGTTTGTTTCAGGAAAACCGGATATAGGTACAGAGGACCCTCAGCCGATAATGTGCCCATACCTTGAAGTACTATCTCATAACGTACCTACCTATGCATCCCGGCTTATTACCTACGTTACTGGTCAATGCTGCACGAGGCCACCTGAGGTGATCAAGTAGGTACCTAGGTACTTACCTACCAATCGCGACACAGCATGCGCCACATCAACCGCCGGGATAACGCCGTATAATTGGCTGCTCACCGCTCAAGCCACACCCCATCGAAGCCATTGCGCCACAACACTCAGTCTCCAACCTTTCAGCGACAATTCTGCATCGCCGCTCTCAAACTTGCCCATCAACCTCCTCAGCCAAGAGCCCTCTGAGCCATTGAGCTCTGCGCCATGCACGCACCAAGGACCATCTGCTCAAGATGTGCCTCGCAGATTCGCGCAGTCCAGGCTCGCTCCCTCGGCGGTGCGGCGCTGTTTGCGTCACTGAGTGATGCAAATACACCTGCCAATGCGTCTCCAACTGCCACGCCAAACATAACCCCGGACACTCACCCGAGGGCCTCGGATGCGGCAAAGCGACAGCCTCACAGCAATACCTGGGCATCTTCCAAGCATGAAAAGGGTCCTCGAAGGGGCATCTACCGGCCGTCCAGCTTCTCGAGGAACAAGCCGCTACGGTCCTCGGAAGACTCCGCCATCGCCCTCTTCAACGATGTCGTCAGTCCGCAAGCCAAGGCAGCCTCATCGCAGTCGCTCTCTCCCCTCGGCGAATTCGAGATTGCGGCAAAGATCAAGGATCTATCTGCCAGAGCGGTCAATGTCGTCAAAAAGCTCCAAATCTTTCGCCAGGATATCTGGCCGCACCTCGAGCAGTTTCACAGCGGGATGCCCAAGCATCTACACTTGATCTCGACTCAATTCCTCGAGAAGTCGTGCGACGAGATCATCGAGCATGGAATCACTGGCTACGGCATTGAGATGTCCCGGCTTTACAGTGGTTTGGGAAAACCTGATCTCGACTTTCGGAACAAGCTCGTCCTCAACGTTTGCCACGCACTCCTATTTGAAAAGCGAGACTCGGCAGATCGCACCGCCCTTATGGATGAACTCATCGGCCTGTGGAAGCACATTTCACAGCTTCACCGCCCCAGCCAACAGAATGCACCGCTCAAGTTTTCCTTTCCCTTGGCACGAGATGTTCGGCAAGACATTGCCGAGAGCAAAGCGACAAACCCTCCCCTTGACTCCACGACTAGGGCTTTTGCTGCTCTCTTCCTGCAATTTGAGCCAGTCGACGCTCGCTACATCATACCAGGACTCTTGACTACCATTGCTGTTCTCTCAGATCCACGATTCATCAGAACCAACACGTACACCAGCATGGCACCGTTATTGAAGCTGGTGGTCGTGGCCCTCGGCGGCAACAGAGACGCTGTCACCGAGACCTATATCTCAAAGATGTTTGACGGCCATGCTCGGTTCCCTGCGGCAAAAGCCTCCAACATCAAATCCTATGTGCTGCAGCAGTGGCCACAAGCCATTGAGATGCTACACAAGGAAAACCCTCCCTGGCGTTCAGGCTCCGAGCTCGTGGCTCTGCACAGTCAGCTTCGATCGGCATACATGGCCCGCGATCTTGCCTCCATGTCCTCCATCTGGCTTGAGTTCAAGAGGTTGTTGGAAAACAAGCCGCATCTTGCTAATCAGCTGCGCAGAAATGCCGAGTTCTTGGACTTTTGGGTCTTCGTTTGGTGCGCCTGCCGCCGCCACAGGCATCTGCAGGAGACATTCGACTTCATGCAGCAGTTGCAGATACACCCGACTCTAAAGACGTACACGGGCATGATGCACGGCTGGAAGTTGTGCAAGGAGACGGACCGTATCGAAGCCCTCTGGCAGAAGTTGGCGGGCTCTGGTCAGAAGCTCGACTCCCACATCTGGACGGAGCGCATCTCCAGCTTGATCGAGGCTGGCAAGCCCCAAGCCGGAATCGAGGCGCTCGCAGAGATGCTCGCCCTGTGGAAGCAGGCAGTGCAGAGGAACGCCCCGCACACGGCCGTGCAGCCCACCATCGAGTCGGTCAACGCCGCCTTCAAGGGCCTCATCGCCGTCGACCGCAAGGCCGCCTTTGAAGTACTCAAGTGGGCGAGTCGCGAGCAGATTGAGCCCAACGTGCGGACGTACAACGTGCTGATCCGCCAGAGCTTCCGGGACGATTCTCCCGACGATGTGCAGACGCTGCTCAAGGTCATGTCCCAGAACGGCATCGACCCGGACTCGGCCACGTTCACCATCATCCTGGAAGAGGTCATTGGCAGGATGGGCGCGGCCTCGGCAGCCGACCAGGTCGAAGCCGTCCACTCCGTCTTCCAGGACATCCAGCGCGCCGGGCTGCGGCCCAACCAGGAGACGTACGGCAAGATGCTCTACGCCGTGTCGTCGCTGGCCAACGGCACCGACGAGGCCATAGCGGCCGTCTTCTCCCACATGCGCGACGACGGCTTCAAGGTGACCCCCCACATGGTCACCATCCTGATCGAGCGGGCTGTGAGCCGCGATCCTCCCGACATGAAGGCCATTGACACCCTGCTTGCCGAGCACGGCTTCTCCCGCGTCAGCGACGGAGACCAAACGCTCTGGGAGCGCGTCATGAGCGCCAACGCCGTCACGGGCAACACGGACCGCGCAATGGCCATCTTCCACGACTTGCAGAAGGCCGGGCGGCCCGTGACTTCGCTGGCGTGCCTGGCGGATCTGCTGCGGGCGCTGCTGGCGGGCGACAAGCGCGAGGAGGCGCGGCATGTCGTTGACGTGGTGCTGGACTACAAGGCAGGCGACGGCGACTGGGACGGTGACTCCAAGGATGAGCGGTACTGGAGGCACCGCTTCTGGTTCCTGGCCGACGAGAGGGGGCTGCTCGAGGGGAGGGAGCTGCCGGACGTTTTGCGTGCAAGCCTGCGAGGATAGTTGCCTGAACTTGGATATACAATGGTTTCGTAGTTTTGCAGCTCGTCGACGTTAGATTTGGAGCTCGTCGACGTTAGAAAGCCATGCCAATAAGAAGCGATAATCGCATACACACATACATATCCCGTCACCGTTTGAATACTGATTGCTTCCATGGATCTGTTCATATCATGGCTGCTTATTATTATCTTCTTCTTGTTGCCCTGATGTTGAACTACGTCGTATCCATGGACTCTCCCCCCGCTTCAGCATCTTTTCCTCCCCTTCCCCCCTCTCCTCCTCCCAGCATGGCCGCCACCTTCTCCAGCCCTTCCACCTCGCCTTTACTCAGTCCTCGCCCTTCGCCCTGCCACTCGCCATCGCGGACCTCGCCCTCGGGGCCAAGCTCCAGCCCCACCACCGTCTCGAGGTATTTCCTCGTCGACGACTCAACGTACTCTGCGCGTTCTCGTCTCCATCTCTCTGCCGCTGGTAGCGAAGACTGTGCTCCTGCACCATCCGCTGCAGCCGCCGCCCCCGCCGTAGAGGAAGAAGGAGAAGAGTCATCGCCGCCGGGTACGGCAAGTTCGGGCAACAGCTGCCTCAGCGATCCGGACAGCGCGCGCAGCGCCTGCAGCTGCGAAAGCGCAAACTCGGTCGTCGTAGTGATGGGCTGCTCGCCGCCGCTCTCTTCAAGCCCGCCCTTATCGCGCAAGAAGGTGAACGGGCTGAGCGTTGACGCCGCGCCATTTGAGGCCGAGGAGGGCACTGCTGCTGCTGCTGCTGCTTCGTGCCCTTCTTCTCCTTCTTCCGTCTTTGTGGTGGCTGCGTGTTCGGAGGGGGAGGCGATGCCGAGGAGGGATCGCAGGTTTCGCAGGAGGGCTTCGTTGCGGGCGTGTTCGGCTTCTAGGACGGCGTTGAGTTTCTGGCTCGCTTGGAGCCGTCTGCGGAGGGCGGTGATGGATTCGGGGGACGGCCTGTCGTCGGCCTGCTGCTGGGGGTGGCCGGGAGCGCCGTCGCCGTCGTCGGGGAATTCGAGGCCGCGGTAGTGCGAGAGGCGCATGTACGGCTGGTCTTGCGGCCGGACGGTGATGATGTTCTGCATGACGTAGAGCTCAAAGATGTCAAAGTTCTTGTCGATGGAGGCGTTGAGCAGCGTCTCGAGCTGGTGTGTGCCGTTTTCGATTTCGAGCTTGGCGGCCTCTTCGGGGGTCTGTGTTTGTGTCTGTGTCTGGTCTGACTGCTGCTGTTTGGGTTTCTTGAAGCCGAGTTTGTGAGGGGGGATGGAGAGGAGGAGTCGTTCGACGGAGTCGAGGGCGCGGTCGGCGAGGACGTTGACGGTGTTGATGATGTCGTCGAGGAGGGACTGGAGACGTCTTTAGCACAGAATTACCAGAGGAGGCAAAGGAGGCAAGACAGCGGATGATGTCAAGAGAGAGCAACTCACGACGGGGGGGTAGCTAAAGTGCTCCGTCAAGAGCTCATAGTCGGAATTGCTAGAAGCCATGGCGAGGCTTCTGAGTTCTGGCGCTGAGCTAGTGGAGGTGGACGGTAACACCTCTTGTGACGAGGCTGATGGAGCAAGTTGGCGATTGACACCTCTTTGGCCGCCAATTGGCGACGAGGCTGCGACGCGACAAGGCGCGCTCTGATCGAGGTTCTTGTTTTTTTTTTTTTATTCTTCCCCTCTGCTTGAGGCCCGTCGCAGCTGATGTGGACTATACTCTTATATGTCGGAAAGGGCACATCGATCAGTGAAGCGTAGTCACAGCGCAGGAATTGCAATAAAATTCGTGTTGATGAACCGCTCGATTAATCAATGAATCGTGAATGAATGCACAAACAAAGCATCGCCATCCTTCCTAGATCGCAAGTGGGGCCCCCGTCATCAGATGCCAGTGACATGGGACCGGACTTAATAGGCCTTAGGTTAGTAAGGTACCTCAGTAAAGCTTCCACCTCGGCGGTACGTACCTTGACACCTGCCAGTGGTTCCCACTCCATTGCGCTTTCCTCAGCTCTTCTTATCAATCCCATCTCCAGGCGGTGGCATCGCCGATCTTGTCCGGATCCATCCCACAGCTACCGACCGGCACTACATTCTGTATATTAAACATATCTAGACTTCTACATCCTTCACTTTCTCCTTCTCATTCTCTATTCTTCTACATCTTCTAGCCTCATCAGATCCTTGCCGCCCGTCATGTCCAAGTACGCCGAAATGGCCAAGGGCAAATTGTCCTCGGCCGGCGAAAAGGCCTCGGACTTCAAAGGCAGAGCAAAGGGCAAGGTGGTACGTCTCGAGTCGCATCACCTCGCAATCAACATCTAGCCCTACGCACGCATTGGCATCACACAAGATGCAGCGACACATCTCGCAGCACCAGCTAACCTGTCAAGTAGACAAAACACATCCCCGGACGAGGCAACAAGGACGAATCCGGCCCCTCCCATGTCGCCCCCCCGTTGAGCTCCCTCCGCGATCCCAACTCCTTTGCTCCTCCGCCTAAACGCACCGGCTCAGGCCTCGCTCCTCCGCCACCTCCATCCACAGCCAAACGATCCGTCATCATGGCACCGTCCAAGTATCAAGATCCCCACGCTCCAAAGGTTGAGCCGCCGCCGAGATTTGCCGACGAATCGCAGCTGCAGGCCTACGAAAGCGAGCACGAAGCCCAGCCAGCATCGTCGTCCAGGTCCTATCGGGTGGACACGACGGGATTGTCTACGCAGCATCTCCCGCCACCGCCAATACGGAGAGACAGAGACGCTGCGGGCAGCCGAAGTCCGCCCTCGTACGATTCCGTTGTCGGCGCAAGTCCCAGCGACGCCAAGGCACCGAGGCTCCCCCCGAGACTGCCTCCGCGATCTGGTTCCGGAACGCCGGATCGAACGGCCAGCCCGCTGTCGACGCTCGGCGTCAGCTCCAACAACCTGAACCAGGGCGCCGTCCAGAGGCTCGGCGCTGCCGGCATTTCCGTGCCCGCCTTTGGCATCGGGTCGTCGTCCCCCAGCCACGCCGGCGCTGCGGATGAGGCTGCCCCTCCGAAGCCGCCCCGGCCCAACGCTACGCCGCCGTCCCAGCTCAACGAGCTGCAGAATCGCTTCGCCAGGCTGGGAACTTCGGCCGCCGTGCCCAGCGAGCCTGCTGCTGCTGCTGCTGCTACCGCCGCCGCCGCCGCTGCCACTCCGCCTGCTACCACATGGGCGCAGAAGCAAGCTGCCATCAAGGCAGCAGCTCCACCGTCGCCTTCCGGGTCGCCGGGTCTGGCAGGGAAGAAGAAGCCTCCGCCTCCTCCGCCAAAGAAGAAGCCCACTCTGTCGGGTAGTCCTGCTGCTGCTGCTCCGGGCGAGGGGCCTGCGCCACCACCCATTCCCCTGTCGACACGTCCGTCGTTTTGATCATAGCTGCCTCCAGTCCAACAAAAAGGGGAAAATCCAGGATTGTACTTGTAGCAAGTGAAGCAATTGTCATCTCATTTCATCTTTGATGTGCGTTTTCACGTTTCGTATATAGCACGACAAATCTGCACGTCTCTCATCTGGAGTTGGGGAAGAATAGCATGGAAAGGATAGTCCGTTGTCAACTTGCTTGTAACGCAATGGCGTCATGGCGTTTCACTTTGCATAGAGGAGAAAACTTGAGAAAGCGGCTTGTCATGAATCAGATTGTTTTTTTATTATTTCGTTGTCCCTTCGTGTTAAATCATCTCCCGCTTGTGTCTCCAGCTATGAGGCGTTTTAGGTATATATGTCATGCGCCGAGTGAAACGCAAAAGATTGGACTCGTAACTTTGTCTCTTTTTTCCTCTCCCCCAACCTGCTCTGACCCGCATCTTTGTTTGAATTGAAAGAAGACGGGCACTTAGACCTTCATCTCGGTAAGACCGTGCTTCCAGACAATGACGTAGGGGGTGACACCATCCTCGCGGTAGTTGAGGAGGACAATCCTGGAAACGAAACGAGTCAGTTTATTGGACACACAAATCGTTGACACAAAGGGTTGTCGTTTTCTTTCACTTACATTCCATCGGGGTTCATGGACTCGCCAGTGTAGAACTCAAAGTCCTTGAAGTTGGGCAGCAGCTTCTCCTTGACGTAGGTCTGGGCACCCTTCTCGAAGGCAGTGATGGTCTCGGGGGAAGCACCCTTCTCCTGGAGGGCGGCCTTGACAGCCTTCATGTAGCCTGGAGAGAACGCAGCAGTGTCAGCAGATGATGCGTCTATACACACACAAACTAGATGGGCACCCAGGGGGTGTGTGTGAGAGAGAATAGACAAGACTAACCCTTGAGGTAGGACAGGTAGCCCTTCTTGTCGAAGCTGGTGGACTGGAGACGGAAAGAGTGGACGATGTTGTTGACCTTGACCTCGGTATCCTCAACACCCTCCTCGGCCTCCTCGGCGGAAGCATTGGCACCGGTGTCTGTAATTGTGCAAGTTAGTTGACGGTGTTGTGGAAGTCAAGACGAGTCGTGGAGATGTAGGGATTGTTCCGCTTTCGCTTCCGCCTTTGTCTTTTATGCCTTTGCGCAGCTTCTCTCTTGTTGTCTGGATTGCATTTCTCTGTCTTGTTGATTTTTCTCATCCATATGCGCATAAAGAACAGAAGCAGAGGGCGAGAAAGCGCCATAGACAAAGACGAAGCTCTAGCGAAACGAGATTGTGTCTTGTGGCTTGGGTTCTGGGGATTTGGCTGTACGCACCGACGTGGACGGCGCCCTCGGTAATCATGGCGCAGTCGGCCTCGTAGACGATGCCGTCGACCTCCTTGAGGTCATACGAGTCCGAGATGATCTCGTCGTCGGTGATGATGTCCTGTTGACATTTGCGGGGTTAGAGACATGGTTCTTGATTTTTTTTTTTTTTCTTTCCTCCCAATGGCGGGGTAAAGAGAGACACAGCAAGCAAACTGTAAGAGAAGACAAAAGAGGAGGGGATAGTGAAAACGAACCTTGTAAATAATCATGGTTGCGGCTGTGAATGTACACGAAGAAAGAAAAAAAAGAAGAACTCGGTATAAGCAGAGAGGAATGGAAGATGGGAAGAAGGACAGAAGAGTGGATGGAGGGGGGATTTGTATGGAGGAAGAGAAAAAGAGGATGGAAGCGGTTTGGCGATGGGGGAGCGGATTAAAGTGGGCGGCAAGAGGTGTGATTGGCTGGTTGTCGGTTTTTTTTTCCCTTTGCCTCTTTTTTTTCTTTTTTTCTTTCCTTTTTTTTTTTTTTTCCCTTCTTTTCTTGGTTCTCGATCGATGTCTTTTTCTCTTCCTCGATTGGTTCATTGCCCAAGTGGGGCTTCGAGCTTGTTTTGTCCAAGCAGAGCAGCTGATGCCCACACGGGTGTCCCGCAAAAGGCAGGAAGCATCGAACTTCATATGCACTTCGTACCTTATGGACCTACTACCTACTCTATGATGTCGCCAGTGTCTTCAATCTCATAATGTTGGTATCAAGTCAATACAAGATGGCTCAAGTTATTAGCGTCAGAAGACGGAGGAGTCGCGGAGGGCGCAATCACGGAACAACAGTTCAACTCCTACACTGTAAATCAGAATCAGATTGCGAAACTTGTCAATTCTCTCTACCTAACGATTACCATCCATCTGTCCATCCATTCCTCAAGGCAATTATCAAGCGTCCACGAAAAGACAAAGGGAACAATTAAGGCGAAAATAAAACACGGGCAAACTCTGCAGCGCGCGCCGTTGCCATCAAGGAAACCGAAACCACAAATCCCTCCAATATCCCAGACCGAACCTGGAACCCGAAAGAGGCCGGAAAAGAAACCACCAGGCCGCATAAAGTACTCCTACACGCACCCCATCTCAATCAAACGATGCCCTCTCCATTACTCTCCATCCAGGAGTGCACCACGCATCGACCGCCACGGCACGCGCTCACCGTTCTTTTATTTCTTGCTCTTCTTCGCTTCCCGCTTCGCTCTCCTCTCCTCTTCACTGTCTTCCACTTCGTCGTCGCTCTCTTCTTCCTTTGCCACTCTCGGCTTCCGCTTTCTCTTCTTCCTCTCCTTGTCACCCTCTTTCTCTCGCTCACTCTCTCGCTTAATATCTCCAGAATCTTTCTTTTTCTTCTTGTTCTTCTTCTTCTTCTTCCTCTGCCGCTCCTCCCGCGCCTCTCCGTCTGAGTCAATCACAATGACGACTTTCTCAGCCACAGACTCCCCCACAGCTGATTTGACCACAGCACCTGCAGCTGTCTTCTGAGTGCCCGACATCTGGGCCTGCAGCATTTTGATGATCTGATCGTGTTGGTCAATTCGACGATCCATCTCCTCCCTTTTCGCCAAGTCACTCGTATAGAGGTTGGCTTTTAGAGATCGGAGATTGGTGAGGAGTTGCTCTCGAGCTCTGGTGTCCGAAATGCTTGCAATGCCGGTTTCCAGGTCATGAAAGACGTCGAGGGTGGACGGTGCGCTTCCTGCAGTCTGTGAAATGGCTTCAGGCTCAGGCTCAGCCTCCGCCTCTTCTTCTTCCTCTGCCTCTGCCTCTTCCTCCGGTTCCGGCTCAGACTGGGGTTCCGGCTCGGGCTCAGACTCAGGATCTGTCTCTACCCATTCAAAGACATCAACGTCATCAACGGCCTGCTCAAGCCAGCCGACGACTGCGTGTTTGCGTGATGCCTCCGCCCAGATACGCAGTGTCTGCTTTGCAAAGTACGGCAGCACCCTGACGTTCTTGTCGGTAAGTACCTCCATAATGTCCGTTTGAATGTTGCCGTTCCAGCCCTCGCGTTTAAGTCGGTTGACGAGAGGCCGCACGTGCACCATGACTTCCGCTCGGGTGACTCGCTTGGTGATCTCCCTCGGTGAAGCTGATCTTGGCTGCACTGAAACCGGTGTGGGAACAAGGGGAGAGGGAAACATGGGTACTGGCACAGGTGTGGGCGGAGGAGGAGGAGAGCGCACACGTCTTGCCGCAGGCGTCACTGCCGCAGGCGTTGCTGCTAGTCGAAACGGCAGTGGGGTGACAAACAGGCTCGGTGACGAACGCGCTCGAACGGAAGACGATATCACCGGTGAGTCTGGTGACAGAATGAAAGCCGACCTTGCTTTGAATGGACGGCGCGATGGCGTTGCAACGGGCCGCGGAGTTGAGGTCCGCACTGGAAGAGAAGCAGGTACAGCCGCTGGTGATGTCTCTTGGGGAGACTGCACAGCTGATTGTCGAGAATCGTTTGAGCGAGGAGCGGCCGAACTGTTTCCCCGTCGACGGTTGACAACAGCCATGGAGTATGGAGGTGTGCTGTCTGGTTGGGCTGCCTGTTCAATCTCGCTGTTTGGCCGTGGCTGGTGGTCGACATCCAGGGAGGTGTTCCATGGTTGATTCAAGGTGAGGGCGTCCTCATCAGAGTTCTCTCTGAAGAAGTGGATGGCGGTAACAGCCTTTCGGTTGCAGTCAAACTTTCTCAAAAACTCGACCTTCTGGTCAGTCGGTGTGAGCTTGCCATACAGGATGACCTGCCGCATCGCAATGACCACCACGAGTATTGGCGCCGGGGGGCAATGCAGCAGGTTGGTTCTCTCAGTGAGAATCTGAGATCTATACATGGACCATGCCATCTGGAAATAGCCGCTCCATTCAAGCCAGTTGCTGGCGTTGAGGGCTTCTGTGTCCCAGCATAGTTTTGTGCAAGCCTTGAAGCATTGCGGATACAGGTCTGGGTCTGCTCCAACAAAGCGAAAGATGCCGCGGATGAGCGAGTCGTAGAAGTCTACCTCTATCTGAGGCGTTATGTCGTTGCTGCGAAGAGTGCGAAGACGCTTGCGAAGGATGTTGATCACATAGTACCCAACCTTTCTGTGCAGCGGCTTGACGACGGGAAGAAGTTGAGGCTCTGGAGCTGCCTCCATTATGAGCAGAAAGAGCCGTCAGACTTGCTCTGAAGAATGGGAGAATTAGTTATGCCAAGGAGGATTGACGTGTTCACGAACAGACTTACATGGTGGAAGAGAGGAGGACGAGGAGGAGGATGAAGAGGATGAGGAGGAGGAGGAGAGGGGGGATCTCGGGTGATGCAAAAGAGGTGAAGAAGAAGAAGAGAATTTTCGGAAACGAAAAGTTTCAAGGGAAGGAACGAAATTCTGCTGTCTTGAAGGCGGTAGGGAAGCTGGCAGCTGTTGGCTGCATTTCGCGACTGTCTGCCAGCTGTCGGTGAGATTCTGCCAGCAGCACGAACCACTGCACGCTCTTTTTCTTCTTTCTTTCAGTGATTTGGCCATGCTGCACCAACAAGAACGCGGCAAAGACAACGAGATCCCTTGCACCAAACTGGATATTCTGGCAGACCAAGTTTCAATATATCTGTGGGATTGCTTCTGGTGTCGCTGTATGCTGCTTGTTGCAACTACCTAGCCATCTGTGCTGCCATGATTGCTGCTTCTTCTGGTCATATCATATGAGTTGATTCTGTCTTTGCTTTCTATTATACCGTCGTCTCTGGTCTCGCTGTGAAGTGAGATTATTCTGTTGCTCATCTTGTCAGAGTTTGTATGGAAGTCAAACGGTATCAGAGATCAGTCGCAACAAACAAAGCCCAAGGACAGTCATGGAAGTAGCTCAATTGATACTTCGAATTTTCTACACTATATTACTGTTACAACCAGATTCCTTGCGCAGACGTCTTGCTGGAATGACGATACGGTACTAAGACTCTACGTCGGGGGGTTTTGTGTGAGTCTCTCGCGAAGTGCCCAGTACACCATCGTACCCCGAGAAATATATACTGCAAATGTATATCTACGTCACCACAAGGTCGACTCCATCACAGCCTTCCGAGCAATTACCTAAGCAGCTCGCCATGTTGGTTTTCTGCACATACGTTACTCGTAGAACGCTACATCACCATAAAAATCATCCAGCAGATCCGTACAATGTAAGGTAAGGTAGGTACTTAGTCAAGCAGTAGGTAGGTACAGATGTAGTCTCCCAACTCGTGTTAAGTGGTCTGATCCAACACGCGACAATACACGCCCAAGCCAATTTTTGGCTCCAGGGGAAATTCTTCGCGCTAGACTCTTTGGGTTGGCTCCCATGGGAATTATCCGAGCCCGAGACTCCGTCCGCGATAGACATTTGTATGTCGCTCGCACCTATTCCACTAACAATTCGCCACTGGTCTCCGGCTCTGTTTTTTCTTTTCCCCCCACCGCCCTCGAAGCTCATCTCAATGAGAGGTCGTGAGCTTCCCAAGGCTTAATCCTCTGCTTGTGCCATCGTCATCTTACGCTCCTTTTCCTCTTTTTATTCTGCTCCATATCCGCGCCTTTAATAACGGGAACCGCGTCCTCCGTCTTTCCTTTTTCTTACAGTACTCGAAAGGCACCTTATTATTGTCTCTTCCCGCCGTTCACGCTTCTCTCGCCTCTCTTAATTGTTGTCGTCGATTGCCCAGTCGCGATCCGCCGTCATCCCACCCAAGCGATTTGCCCCCCCCCTGTCCGAATTATTCAATTTATGATACGCGCCATCCGAACAACGCCGAGATTAGTTTGCCGTTTGCTCCGACAGCTCCGCCTGCTCTCAACTCAATAATACTTGCTTCTCTCAGCTACAACCTTCTTCTTCTCATCTGCATGGTCGACAAGTCAACGACCATCGTCACCAGCCGCAGCCATGGAAAACCTCTCCGCCGAGGCTTCCAGCATGGCGAACCACAGCCTCTACGACTCGTCGCTCCCGCCCCTGCCGACCTACACGCTCGAGCCGAAGCCCGACCTGCTGCCCTTCATCTCTGACCTCTGGCTGTCACTGGTCCTGCCCGTCGTCGTCTACTGGGTCGCTTCGCTCTTCTTCCACGCCATTGACACGCTCGACCTCTTTCCCCAGTACCGCCTCCATACCCCGGAAGAGATCACCAAGCGTAACCATGCCACTCGATACGAAGTCGCGCGCGATGTCATTATCCAGCAAATCATCCAGGTCATCACCGGATATGCGCTGGCGATAACCGAGCCCCAGGAGATGATTGGCAAGACGGACTACGACATTGCCGTCTGGGCCACCCGCATCCGCCTTGCCCAGCGCGCCTTGCCTGGCCTGCTTGGCCTGGTCGGGCTCAACGCCACCGCCATCTCCAAGAGCATGTCGTCGTCCCATCCTCTGCTCGCCGGCGTCCTGGCCGGTGGCTACTATCCCGTCACCTCTACCGACTCGGCCGCCGCCGCTGCTCCGACCTTTACTGCGTGGGAATTGACCCTTGCAAAGGCCATATACTACGTCTTCATCCCCGCTGTGCAATACTTTGTTGCCGTCTTCATCCTCGATACCTGGCAGTACTTTCTTCACCGACTGATGCACGTCAACCGCTGGCTGTACAGTAAGTTTTACCAAAATGAAACTCCGTTTGCGGAAAAAAAGAACAATCTGTTGACCATGTTCTTCCTGCAGCAACTTTCCACTCTCGACACCATCGTCTCTACGTCCCTTACGCCTACGGTGCCCTTTACAACCACCCGCTGGAGGGCTTCCTCCTCGATACCCTTGGCGCCGGCATCGGATTCAAGGTCACGGGCATGACTCTGCTACAGGGCACATGCTTCTTCGCCTTCTCGACGATCAAGACCATTGACGACCACTGCGGATATGCCTTCCCCTGGGATCCTCTCCAGCTCATCACGAGCAACAATGCCGCGTACCACGACATTCACCACCAGAACTGGGGGATCAAGGCCAACTTCTCACAGCCCTTCTTCACCTTCTGGGATCAGCTGTTGGGTACAAAGTACAACGGAAACCGCACCAACCGTCTGGGCCAACAGAAGCAAGCCGAAAAGGCTCAGTGAACGGGCTCTAAGATGACCATCGGTTAATCTTGGTCAAGGCGTGCGCGGATACTCTGCAGAAACGCACAATCTCACACTCTCTCCTTATTATCTCTCACATACACTGTCCTCCCACCCTCACACATAAACACGAAAACACTCTTCCGTGGGAGGATCGATAATTACATTCTCCATCGCAATTATGATGGATAAACACGACGAAACGCATATTGGATGACGGCAGCAGAATCGGCACTGCCAAACTCGATACTCTAATAACCTAATGGACTACATCTCACCTCATAGGCCCGCTGAGGGTAAAAGAAGGAAAGGGCTACTCTAAATCTGTACATAATGATAATATTCTCTTCAGGGGTGTTTGCATGGTTTTCTTGAATGATTCTGGAATGGCATAGGAGATGCTCGGGAAGAAAGAGGCGGTTCATGCTGCAATTCACTGGGAATACATTACCTATCTTGGCGCAAACTTGGTCCAGGTCACCGCTGCTGTCTATACTACCTGCAATCCAACTGACGTATAACACTGTAGGTGTGATGGACTGCATGACAGGATACAGTTCACTTTTGATGACCGGTGTTGCAGGAATATGAGGACCTTGGAACATGCCGAGGAAGATCATCCTATCTTATCAGAATTCGTTTCGGCACCTTGGCTCTAGATACCTACCCTGAATTTAGTCAGTCTAAATCAGGTAATAATCTATTTGTGTTTCGACTCCAAGAAAGACACAAAGACGCTTCTCGCAAGATGATTTCATCCGCAATAGGGCCTGACTTCATTAGCTGGACATTTTTCCTGATCAAAGTCGTATTCCAAGGAACCCCCAGTTGCAAGATTGACTCTTGATTAGCATCACCAAATAACTGACATCTCTATACGACTAACACCCGCAATCTGTTACAGAGCAAGGAACATTTCCAGCTTTAGATAGTACTGCTGGGCCTTACTTAACTCGTCCCAAAGTCCTTGAGACTCCCTATCGCAAAAAGTTTTTTTTTGGATCAATCCACCATTGGCCTATTTTGTTCCAGATGTCGACTACGCTGCCGCATGCACAACATCGTCTCCAGAGTGCGCCAACCTCGAACTTGAGGGCGACCCACCCAGAGCTCTTTGGCTGCGGATTCCCAAGAAGCATGGACAGGGGAGCCCATCTATAAGGTTCAAGGTCGTGCGGGCGCAGAGGCTGGTAAAAGCATCCTGGCGCCCGTTGGCTCTTTCAACCAGGTTATCCCTCTCTCGACTTGGCTAGGTACGTATAAAGACTTGCAATTGCAGTCCATAAGAGAGGTGCTAAGATGTTGGCTCATCCCACCTTGTCAGTACAACAGCCCGAGATTGGAACATGGGGACGCGGAATGTTTTTTTAATGTATTATCAGACGCTGGCTCCCCTCTTTTGCCTCTTATTACTAGTTTTCTCTTGCCGGCAGGCTAGCACGAGGATCTGGACCTCCTGATGCGAGTAGCCGTTGGACCACAGCGCTACTATCAAGGATTGTACAGGGCAGTCATGTGGGCGTCATCGTAGGTGGAAACGGTTGCACCACGTATTACGACGAGAGTTCTACGGACAAGCTGTCCATGGTCGTCGGCCCATACAACTCGGTACAACAAGCATACCGATCAGCGTTTCTCCGCGCAAATACGGAGTCAAGGGTGCATGGAAGAAGCACGAAGCTACGTCACACCAAATCTCGCGTTGTGTTTGGTCCTGTAGTTGGGACGGCGGCGGATTTCAGATACGTGGATGGGCTGGTCTCCAGTAGTTCCGCTTCCACTCCGTCTGACGATGCTCTAGCCTAAGCGCATCGGCACATTAGCGTATTTGTACTTATTGACTGCTCTTGTGGTTCCGCTGCTCATCAGCTTCAGCGTTCACAATGACAGTGGAAAGCCAATTATTCTTGGAAGTCATAGGTATGAGGATGCATATTGTACTCTGTGGTCAAATGTCCACGTGGACAGGACACAAGGCAGCTCAAAGCCCGATCCTCGATGTCTGCGTAGATACCGAAAGTCGAGCTGGAAACAGGGGTCTCGGACCCCACGGAGAGGCGCGTCCTCGTTGTACAGGCTTGACTTACTCGGCGGGTTAACTAATGGCCCAGCCACAAGGCCCCCGCCTCTCCCTACTAGAGAGGCGGGGACCTAACCTATATCTTTTATTAATGCATATCCTTCTTTTTTAACTTTATAACACTATAACTTAATTAGATTACACTTAATTACTTTTAAATTTTTATAAAATCTTAATTAACTTCTTTATTTTAATATATTTAAATTTAAAAAAAATAGCTTAATATATATAGCTATAGTAGCGCAGTCTTATATTAATAATAAAACGCTAACTTATTAAATATATATAAATTTACATCCTGCATATCCCTTAATAATTTATAAAACTATATTATAATTTTATATTAATAAAAATCTTATTAAGAAATATATATAATTCCTGCAGGCTAGCCTAGCCTTACTTAAAAGCAGGACTAGTAGTATACCTATAGCTTTAACTAAAAAAGAGGAAAAAGCTATTATAATATATACCTAAAAGGTAAAAGGCAGCTCTTTTACCTTTATAAAGGCTTATTTTATTAACTAAGCTAACTTTCTTTATTACTATTAATTATTTAAACTAGTCCTTAATTTTAGTAAGTATTAAATTTATAAATTTAAAAATAGGCATTTTAAATTATACTTTTAAAAGGTAAAGATTAAAGAAATATAATAGGCTAAAATAAAGCTTAATATTAGTAAGCTAAAGTTATAGTTTAAAAAGTTAAAAGCTATAATTACTGCTTTTAATATCTTAGCTTATAACTTCTAAAACTTTAATAAGACTCCTTTATAGCTTAAATAAATAAAGGGCTTACTAAAACTTATATTAATATAAAAAAAAGGTAATATATATTTAATTATTTTTTAGCTAAGAAATAAAAAGTCTTTAACTTTTATTAATATTATTAATACTATTAATAAAGCTATCCCTTTCTTTTTTATTCTTTTTATAAAAGTTATTTTTAAAAACTATATAATAGCCTTAATTAATAAAAATATAGTTATTATATAAATAGTAACTAAATTTAATAATACTTAATAAGCTTTATAATAGCTATAGTATTTTAATTATAACTCCTTTACCCTTAGCTTAAGCTTTAAAAGCTATATAATTAAAAGTTAATTTAGCTACTTATTAAAAATAACTTAATTAATTTAAGGCAAAACTAAATATTATTAATAAGGTTATATTAAAAGAAAGATAAAAACTATTTACTAGCTTTTATTAATAAATAGATTTACTGCTTATAAAGACCTTAAGTTTATATAGTATTATAATCTCTTTAATATTATGCCTTTTAAGCTTTTTTTATATATAAGTTATTTTCTTTAACCTCTTAATATTAGTATTTATTAGTATTTTAAGTAGTAGTAGTAAAAGTCTTTATAAAAGTTTATAATTTTTAATAGTATAAGTATTATAAAATATAACTTCCTTTATTAATAGAATAAAATATATAAAGCTGCTTTTAAAGCTTATTATATTTATATTAAATTTAAAAAAGCTAGCCTTTAGCCTTTTAACCTTAATTTAGTACTATTACTACTTTACTATAGCTAAAAGTAATAGCTAAAGCTACTTTTACTTAGCCTCCTTACTTAAAATATAATCTTACTATAGTTAATTAAGAAATTAGCATAAAATATATAAAAAAAGCTTAAAATCTTAAGCAGCCTAACTTAAAATATTATTTAAAATGCTATTACTTATATAAACTATATAATAGTCTTAAATTATTAAAATAAGAAGATATAATAACTTTAAGATTATTAAATTTAATATAAAGCGCATTAAATAAAGACTTACTGCTAGATTTAAGGTATTACTAATAGCGCTTATACTATTACCTAGCTTTATAATAAAATAGCTGCTTAATAATAACAGAAAGTAAAAAAAGAAGCTTAAGCATAAGCTTATAAGTATTAATATTAGCTATAATAATAATATACCTTAAATATAGCTAAAGCCTTATTAAAGCCTTACTTTTATAGCTAGGCTGCTATTAATAAATAAAAATATTAAAAAAAGGCATTTTAAGTATATTTTTAAAGTTAAAAGACTTTAAAAAAGAGAGAGATATTATAGTAACTTATATAAGAATAAAATAAGGTTAATAATAATTATTATTTCTTTCTTTTAAGAATAATACTATAGCCTAATTTTTTAAAAATCCTTAAACTTATAACCTAGCTTAAAAAGGTTAAAAAAAAGCCTAAGATTAATAAAAAAGCTAACTTAAAAAATAATAAAATTAATTAAAGCCTTAAGGCTAGCTATATTATAATATTATTATTTAATAGCGCTGCTAGCAGTAATATTAAAAAAAATAATAATAATAATAATAATAATAATAATATTAAAATTATTATAACTTCTAGCTATATAAAGACTTTATTTAATTATTATTTTAATATTCCTAGGTTTTTTTATATAAAAGGTCTTAGCCTTAAGCTTAATAAAAAAATAAATTAAGAAATTAATTAGGATTTAAAAAAGTTAAAGGTATTAAAGGCATATAACTTATTATTAAAAAATAAGCCTTTTATTATTATTATAAAATGCTAAATTAATATACTATAAATATAAGTATATTCTTCCTAGTATTTTTAAATATAAATTATACTATTATAATAATACTTAATATATTAATCTTTATATTAAAAAAAACCTTAAATGCAGTTTTATATAGCTATTAATTCTTTTTTTATTTTCCTTTTACTTAGGCATTATAGTATAGCAGTTATGCTATAATAAAAGGATACGCATTAATAAAAGATATAGGTTAGGTCCCTGCCTCTTTAGTAAGGAGAGGCAGGGGCCTTGTGGCCGGGCCATTAGTTAACCCGCCGAGTATTAACTAGTATGAGTAGATGGACTTGTTTCCTAGGCCTGGCATCTTGTGCATAAAGAGGCTGAGACAAGACGGAGGTCAGGGCAAGGCGAGACAGGTCAAGGCATAAACGGCAGGGCTTCTAATTGTCAAGTCATTACAGATCAGCTCGAATAGGTGACGCTTCACTGGATGCATCGGCTTCAGTCCTTGGTACGAAGGTACGAGTACGTCCAAGGTGATACTCACAACGACATTGCAAAAAGATTGAATCCGCATCAGCCAGACCAAGAGCGACCTGAAGCTCGGCATCTCGCATGTCGTACATGTTTGGTAGATTGCAGTTTGGACACCTGGGCAATCAGATGCAATCTGCCGGTGCCTTGGGTGCAGTGGTTACCGGGGCATCTAGGTACCTAAGTACCTAGGTATAAGGTGTTGGTACCCGTACGAGTGCTGTACCTGAGACATGCATGAGTACGTAGTGCCTCAGGACATGTAATCGATAGGCAAATTCCGACGAAAGCAGCAGGCGGTCGGGAACCGTGCTCGGAACACAAGAGAGGCATCAAGGTGACTCGCCAGCTACCGATCACAACAGCACTTCCTCCTCCATGGGAAGCACAACGCTTACATGCCGTTGCACCTGATCATCTTCTTCAATGATCGCAGCGAGTACCATGTACGAGATTCAAGACTACCTCACCGTCGCTCAGCATGAAATCCTTGCGACGCCGGTCCCCGGCTAGACGCTTGGCGTTCTTTCAGCCATCCATTCAGATCCATTGCCGAAACTGGTGACGCTCCCTTGCAGCGACAAATCAAACCTCAGCTGGACGCTTCCCTATTCCGCCCCGAGGGCGCAGTCAAGGGCGGAAGGGAGAGAGGCACACAAGCATAGCTGCCAGTAATATCGCGTTGAGAAAGCGTCCGTCCACTCGACAAGCGATGAGAGCAAGTAAGGGACGCTTTCTTCCAACCACACTTGTTTGTGGGCTGATGCTCTTGCTAACGGGAATCGTGGCTCCTACAGTATGTAGCCTCGACTTGCATCATGGGGGGGGCAACCGATGCCTCTCACGGCATCGCGCCCATGATTGGCGCCGCTGATTCTCCAGTGCGGCCCCGTTCAATCTCTCTGGTCCCTCTAACCACGCCGATGCCGCCCAATCACCCAATCAGCCTCTCTCCGTGCCTGCGTGGCCAAATCGTGCCCCTGCTCGGACCCCGGCCCCAAAGAAAAGCGTCTTTCTTGGGATCCGGATCAGGCGGCTGCTGCCCATTCCCCGGCTGAGCTGAGCTCAATAAACTCAAACCTGAATTGAGTCCGGCATCGCCACGGCATCCGGCCAGAGGGATTATCGGGGACTGATGTTTCCAGGCTTTGAGCCAGGTGCTTCAGGGCAGAGGCCGCCGGGTGGTATCTTGTGCTTCCAACAAGCTTTGCTTTCTGCTTGTCTGATGGGCACAGCGCCGGCTTTTCCGACCAAGGTCTGCTCTTGTCACAACCTCAGAGGAGCCGTCCCGTTGACCAGGCCCGTTACTCAGATGCGGAAATCCAGACAACATCCCGGAGTCTGCATCACGCCAAAACCAAACTATCGCTGGTTCGTACAACACTATCGCTCACACCACCTCCAAGTGCCAGCTCGCTAGTCAGCCTGCCTCTCCGGATTCCACCTCTGGGTGTTATGGCGGCTGACCCTTGGAGCCTCTGTCGTCACGCTGCTGGCCCGGGAAACTATTACTGAGCTCTGGGCCGCAAGAGATCTGCCGTCGTCACCAACATCAGCATCAACAGCCTGGAAAGCATCACGCTCTTTCTGCTGCATTCCCACCCCGCAGCATCGCAGCTGTTGTACTGAGCCTCTGGTCTGACAATCTACCGCTCTCATGAAGCTCCAGACTCATACCATCTTTTCATCGCCACTTTGGAACACTTCTTGCCAAATTCAGCTCGTCCGATTCATTGCTCAGAATCCCTGCTGATCGCGGCTTCTATCCGTTCTGGTGAAAATCTTTTGCCACTTATTACTTGAACAACCCCCGTCGACTTTCGGGATCGCGTCTAACGACGTTCTCTTTCATCGTCCTAAGCGCCCGTCTCTCCCTTCTTGGTCTCGCCCCCCCTATTCCTCCCTTCCATCCAACGCTGCAATACGACCAAAATTCATCCAACCGTCCAGGGACCGGTTTCCACCACCATATCTAGTACAACTTGCCAGTGTACGGCTAGATGGCGGCGCTTGCAGCACATGGAGTTAAACCGCGCCCTTGAGCCAATCACCTCACAACGCTATTCGCTTCAGCGCTTCTTCAAACATGCCATTCAGCCCGCCGTGTTTCACGCACTCAAGCTCACTCTCACTCTCAACTCTGCTCCGTTCTGACGCCCAAGGAATACTGCATCAGAATAGACTCGCACGTTGACTTTCTCTGCCAGCCAACGTTAGCGCGAGACATTGTAAGATAATCGCCGGATTACGAGACAGTCCTCGGTTGCTTACTATCGGCCCTCATAAGACTCTTATACCCAAACCAGATACTCGAGTCGATTGTCTCCCGCGCCTTTCAGCACAATGGACCCAACAACGACTCTTGTTACATTTATGTTGTGAGTGTCTTGCGGACTCTTCTTCTTTTCCCCTTTGTCCTTGTCTTTTGGTTGGATTTCATTTTCCCTTCATTTTCCCTTCTTCAATATCCTCAACATCTGTCTGTGTTTTATTTTATCTCTTTTTCTTTCTTTTTACTTTTGTCTCCCGAGCGTTCCCCTTCCTCACTACCGGGCTCGACCGGTTCCTCCCACTTATCGTCTCTCGCTTTCTGGCTCAGCTCGTTCAGGGCGCATTGGTAGCCCTTGGTCTACTCGGCCTTTGGCTCAGCGTGTTCCGTGTCTCACTGAATCCCGCACCTCGAACGGTCGGCTGTTCACTCTGTCCGGTCTAGGCCCTGCTTTCTCAGAAGCCCGGACGGAGTACTCCCTTTTTTGTTGGCTTTTGCCAGGTCAAGTGCTCATTAGTGTGGCCGTCAGCCCGCTCACATTGCCTACCCCTTGCATTGACCTGCTCGCTCGTTGGTATGAGTCCATTGAACTTTGATTGCCGCGCAGCTTCATGCCGGTTTGCCCTACACATTGGCTTCACGGACTCATGAGTTACGCCGTGGCCATTTCAACACTGCACCTCATGTCTACACCCTGCTCTCGTTGCCAGTCTTATGCTTGCCCGGTGGGATTCCGCGGGCCACACAAGATAGACGGGAATCTCTTCGAGTTGAATCTTCACTCCTGGCTTACCCCTCTCCCAATCCCGGACGCACTCGTGCATTCTGCACCTGCCGATACCCTCAGTTCGAAATTACAAATCTTCAGATCAGCCCATCACTAGCCCGCTGGAACAGACCTAAGCTGACGCCCCAACCTCACAGTCAGACGGAGCCATCTGTCCGATCCGTCCGCCTCATTGGCTCTTGGGACAATTTCACCATGTGCTATAGCATGGAACGGGACAGTAGACGTGGCCAGGGCCAATGGAGAGGATGCTTCGCATTCCAGAACGTCATGGACGATGATGGGAGCCCGCACCATCCCAAGACAAGTGGTGGCCTAAAGATGGGTCACACGTACTTCTACTATGTAAGTCACAAATTTCACTTTCTGCTATCATCCCAATGCGCTTCGTCGAGTATCCCAGCCGTTGGGGCAGGTTATTAATTCCTGATCCTGATCCATGGGTATAACAACTCTCTGCCCCTTGTCAGCCAACAATTCTCACCCGTCTCACACAGAGTATCAGATTTTTTTTTATTTTTTTTTCTATTTTTTTTTTTTTTTCCAAATCTAACTTGCGCCGCCATAGTACGAGGTAGACGGATCAACCGAAACATTTGATACTACGATGCCTCACACAACTGCCTGCCCATATATGCCCGGTCAGACAGTCAATACTCTTCAAGTCCCCATCGAACGCACGGCGCGCTTCAGAAGTGCGTCCACGACATCTGTGAACTTGGAAAATTTCAGGACAATGGACCCGGCAACCAAATTTATAAAGCCGCTACCACCAACGCCCCTCTCGCCGGACACAAACAAACGACGTTCCCAGTCAGCTCCACAACCTTCGTCATCTTCATCGTCTCGCTCAACGTCACCACGCTCATGGAAGAGATTCTTTTCTCGCAAACTGGAGACACCAGACAGTCAACGTGCTGCCTCTGCTTGCTCGCAAGAAACCATATTTACCGCCTACGACAACGTTATCACAGTCCCCTCACCACATGCCCGCTCTGGCCGTCATATGTCATCACTCAGCGAGGGTGCCCGACCAAGAGACATTTCTCCAACTTCACTCTCCCGAATCCTACGGGAAGGGAGCCACAAACCCCTGCGTTTCCCAAGTCACACTGCTCAATTACCACCGCTCAAGATACCAGAGGATGTCATCGAGCATGATGAGGACGATGAGGATTTTGCAGCCTCTGCGGTCTCAGAAAGTCTACCGTTTGCCACTGTTCTCTCGCCACCCCCCTTTCAACGCTCTTCATCATCCGATACTGTAAAACACAATACCGAGGCCGGATCCTCAACGACAGTAGTCAAACCCAGCCTCACAGTACCGTCTCTATTACCAAAGCAGAGCCAGCCTATCTCAGCCGTCATGAACGAAACAAGGCCGCAGTATGAATGGCCTATCACAAGATCAGACCATATCACCGGAAGTCCATCTCAAGAAGATGTCCCCATGAGCTTCTATGATGATGAAGATGATGACGACGACATTTTGTCCAGCAACGAGGACGAGGGACACTTCCCTCCCGCCCCTCTATCCCAGTCGCCCCTGTCTTCGTTCCAGGGATACAGCTTGCCACGACACGGCGAGGATAGCAAGGACGCGTTTCTTCCGCAGACTTTTGCACATCGTGCCTCACCAAAGGTCATTCCCAGCAGATCCAACATGTTGGATACACCAATTGAGGCAGGCCTTGACGAGTTTGTCAGTGAGCTAGGGTGGATAGCTAGTGCTATAGGTACAGAAGACTGGCATTAATAAATAGACTATATAAGATAGTAAAATTAAATAAATAATATAAAATAATATTAAGTAATATTATTATTACTAGAGAAGAGTCCTACTATTTATACTATTATAAAATTCTATTTAAACTACAGTAGTTTATACTAATAGCTAGACTAACCTCCTAAGTAAAATATCCTATACTTAAGTATTAAAATATAGTATTATACTAGAAGTAATTACTGTTAAGAATATTATACTTATAAGATAGAGGGCATATAGGATTAACACTAGGGTATCTGCTGTCTCTGCTGCTGCCTCTTCTGCTGCTGCAGCTGCCTCCTTTATCCTAATAATAATAAGTGCTGCTCTTAATCTCGCGCTATAATTAAGTCGCTGACTGTAATAAGGTTAGCTCTAAGGTTAACTGTAATAATTAAGAATACTAGAGCTATAACCTTATATAGTATAAAAACAAGCCTGCTATTAGCTTATAGTATAATTAAGTATATAGTAGTAGACTTAATAGTATATATATAGTAATTTTGCCTTATATATAAACTACTATATATTTTATATATAAACTACTATAGTTTAAATAAAAATATACTATAATATAAATAAAAGGATTTTTAATAAAAGTTTTTATTATTTTTATATTAATACTTTTTTATATTATAATATATTTTTATTTAAATAATAATTATTATATATAATATAATATATATATTATATAAAGTTTATTATTTAATATTTTTTAATTAAGTTAATAATAAGCTTATTTTTTTATAATAATATTATTAAGTAATATTATATTATAAAAGTTTAATAAATTATTAAATATAAATTTATTTTATTTTTTTATTTATTATATATAATAATATAAAAAAATTAATTCTTTTATAATTTATTAAAATTAAATATATTTAAAAATAAAAAAGTAAATAAATAAGTAAATAAATAATAATAATAATAATAATAATACTTTATAATTTTAAAATTTTATATAACTTTTAATATTAATATTATTAAATTTTAATATAATATTTATTTATTAAAAATATAAGTTTTATAAATAAAAATTAAAAAAAACTTTTAAATTTATAAAAAGAAATTATTAAAAAATTATTAAAAAAATATTAAAAAATTTAAAAAAAATTTAAAAAAAAATTATTAAAAAGTTTTCTTAAAAAACTTTTAAATTATTTATATTACTTAAGTTATATTTAATAATTTTTTTTAAATTTAATTATAATTAAAAGTTATAAAAATTATAAATTAAAAATATATTTTATTTAATAATTTAAATTAGCTATTAAAAAGTTATTAAATAAATTATTTATAAATTAAAAATATATAACTTTTAATAATATATAAAATTAAAATTTATATAAAAAATTAAAAATTAAAAAAAATAATAATTAAATTATTAATTTATTTTAATTATATAATAATATAAATTTAAATATTTTTTATAAATTTATAATATAAAATATATTAATAATTTTAAAAATTAAAAATTATTATATTATTAATTATAACTTACTTTATTATTTAAAATAAAAAATAAACTTTTAATATATATATATATATATATATAATTAATAACTTTAATTAATAAATAAAAGAAATTATAATTTAATAAAGTTATATTATTTATAATTAAATTATTATATAATATTAAAGTATTATTTTTTTAAAAATAAACTTTAAGTTTATTATTAAATAAAACTTAATATAAATAAATTAAGAACTTAAAATAAAATAAAATAATAAATAGTTAAAGTATATTTAAGTAAAATTCTAAATAATTAATTACTTAAATATTTAAAATTATAATATTATTAAAAGCCTAAGCCTGGCAGGCCGGGGCGCCCGCGCGCTTAGAGGTCCCATGAGGGGGCCGGGCGAGGGTCCAAGGGGAGCTCCAGGGTAGGCGGGGGGCGGGGGGGAGGATTGGCGGAGATCTTGGGGGACGTGGGCGCGAGCCGGGGAGGGGGAGAGGGGGAGAGAGGGGGCGGAAGGAGCGGCCAAGTCCCGAGGGGGGCGGCTACCCTAGAGTCGCCGGCAGGCTCCAGGGTAGGTACAGGGTAGGTACAGGGTAGGTACAGGGTAGGTACAGGGTAGGCACTCTGCCGAAAGGTGTAGGGTAGCTCTAGGGTAGGTGTAGGGTAGGTATAGGGTAGCTGGCTGTGAGTTTTGCAGGGCTCTAGGGTAGGTATAGGGTAGGTATAGGGTAGGCAGGCGGCCGAGAGTTTTGCAGGGCTCTAGGGTAGGTATAGGGTAGGTATAGGGTAGGTATAGGGTAGGCGCTGGGCCAGGTCGCCGTTTGGGTCTGGGCTTGGGTTTTTTTTTTGGTTTCTTTGGTTTCTGGTCTCTGGTCTCCGGTTGCGTGTCTTGGGCTTCGGGCTTCGGGCTTTGGGCTTTTGGTACGCCGTCGGGTGGCCGGCTGCCATTTTGTACGGAGCTCCAGGGTAGGTACAGGGTAGGTATAGGGTAGGTACGGGCTAGGCTGTAGGGTAGGTGCGGGCTTGTCGAGGAAGCGGGCGGGCAGGAGATGGATGAAGTCAAAAAAGAAAAGAAGAAGAAAAGGCACGAAACCGAACGGAAGATTCATTCGACCAACCTTTGGACATTCTTCTCGCACGGGTCGACGATTCGCAATGGGCACGCATCTCCTCGGGTCGCCACCCGTCCCTCTATGCCGCCCGCCCCCTCTGCTCCCCTCCTCCTGCCCAGCAGCCCCAGCCTCTGCCGGCGGCCGCGGGCGACCCGGGGCGGGCTCCAGGGTAGGTCCGGCGGCGGCTATAGGGTAGGCCACCCCGGCCGTGGCCCAGGCCCAGGAGCGGCCGCCGGGTGGGCGACTAAATAGCGCTCCAGGGTAGGCGCCCACACTTTGCGCGGGGCTCTAGGGTAGCTCCAGGCTAGCGGGAGGGCTCGAATTTGGCCAAGTCCGAAAAAACTGGCCAAGTCGGTTTCCCGTTTGTATGGCCGTGAGTCGATTTGGGCAAAAACGCATACAAATGAATTTTGCGGAAAATCGGAACGCGGCCACGAGCCCAACCTGCCCGGGCCCGGGCTTCCATTAGCTCGCAGGACTTATGAGAGGAAGGGGGCAACCAAAGGAAGGCAGCCGAAAGGTGACGACCGGCGAACCCCCGACCGATCAAACTGTACCATATCTTGTAGACGTTTAGTTATGGCGACCTCTTGAACAGGCTTGCAGGATGTAATTCTCGCTCGCGATTGGTCGTAACTATCTGTCGCCCCTCCCGAAAGCGGCTCCCACGGGTGCACGCCGTACGGAGGAAGCACGGCTGCGTCGGGGCGCCCCTCAGGGGCCTCTGGCGCCGTCGGTTGGGTTCGGTGGACTGCTGGCCCTCTGTGGCACGCGGCCTTCACTGAGCAACAGGGGGCAGCCCGCCCCCAGCTGACACCGCAATGGTAGACGCTGGGGAACGGGCCCCTCTTCTGGGGCCCCCGATTCAGCGCCTTTGGCGCCGAGGAGGGTGGCCCTGGGAACTTTGGCGGGGGGAGCGGATTGCCGCTCGTAGCGCTGTCCCGGCGATGTAACAGTGGCCCTGGGGCGGCGTTGCGGGGGGCGCCGGCGCTGACGCTTCAGTGCGTCGCGGCGGCCGACCTAGTGTGCTAGAAATCGCTCCGGCGGATGAGATACTCCGCCGGTGGGCGCGAGGGCCCTGTGCCCGGACGCCCTGACGATAGTTACCTGGTTGATTCTGCCAGTAGTCATATGCTTGTCTCAAAGATTAAGCCATGCATGTCTAAGTATAAGCAATTATACCGCGAAACTGCGAATGGCTCATTATATAAGTTATCGTTTATTTGATAATACTTTACTACTTGGATAACCGTGGTAATTCTAGAGCTAATACATGCTGAAAATCCCGACTTCGGAAGGGATGTATTTATTAGATTAAAAACCAATGCCCCTCGGGGCTCTCTGGTGAATCATGATAACTAGTCGAATCGACAGGCCTTGTGCCGGCGATGGCTCATTCAAATTTCTTCCCTATCAACTTTCGATGTTTGGGTATTGGCCAAACATGGTGGCAACGGGTAACGGAGGGTTAGGGCTCGACCCCGGAGAAGGAGCCTGAGAAACGGCTACTACATCCAAGGAAGGCAGCAGGCGCGCAAATTACCCAATCCCGACACGGGGAGGTAGTGACAATAAATACTGATACAGGGCTCTTTTGGGTCTTGTAATCGGAATGAGTACAATTTAAATCCCTTAACGAGGAACAATTGGAGGGCAAGTCTGGTGCCAGCAGCCGCGGTAATTCCAGCTCCAATAGCGTATATTAAAGTTGTTGTGGTTAAAAAGCTCGTAGTTGAACCTTGGGCCTGGCTGGCCGGTCCGCCTCACCGCGTGCACTGGTCCGGCCGGGCCTTTCCCTCTGCGGAACCCCATGCCCTTCACTGGGTGTGGCGGGGAAACAGGACTTTTACTTTGAAAAAATTAGAGTGCTCAAGGCAGGCCTATGCTCGAATACATTAGCATGGAATAATAGAATAGGACGTGTGGTTCTATTTTGTTGGTTTCTAGGACCGCCGTAATGATTAATAGGGACAGTCGGGGGCATCAGTATTCAATTGTCAGAGGTGAAATTCTTGGATTTATTGAAGACTAACTACTGCGAAAGCATTTGCCAAGGATGTTTTCATTAATCAGGAACGAAAGTTAGGGGATCGAAGACGATCAGATACCGTCGTAGTCTTAACCATAAACTATGCCGACTAGGGATCGGACGATGTTACATTTTTGACGCGTTCGGCACCTTACGAGAAATCAAAGTGCTTGGGCTCCAGGGGGAGTATGGTCGCAAGGCTGAAACTTAAAGAAATTGACGGAAGGGCACCACCAGGGGTGGAGCCTGCGGCTTAATTTGACTCAACACGGGGAAACTCACCAGGTCCAGACACAATGAGGATTGACAGATTGAGAGCTCTTTCTTGATTTTGTGGGTGGTGGTGCATGGCCGTTCTTAGTTGGTGGAGTGATTTGTCTGCTT